AATTGCAATCAAAATGATAAAAAAGAGCTAGAGCAAATTCACCAAGAAGCAGCTAGAATAATTACCGAAACAACAAAACTTGTGTCTATTGATAAACTCATGAAAGAAGTTGGGTGGGAATCCTTGGAAAAAAGGCGTTACAAACATAAATTGATTCTTTTCTTTAAAATGAAAAATAGTCTTACTCCTCAATATCTCTCTGACCTTGTCCCTTTGTCTGTTGGTAGTGAGCATCGGTACCCACTCCGGAACTCAAACGACACACAGAATATTCACACAAATACAGATTATTACTATAAATCATTCTTGCCTTCTGTTATCAGAGATTTTAATTCTCTTCCACATCAAACGCAAAATGCTTCAACCTTAGCTTCTTTTAAGCGCCTTCTTAATAATAATTTGCCACGGGTGCCTGCTTATTTTCTTTCTGGTGATCGCAAACTTCAAATTTTTTCACAAAAGATTACGCACTCACTGCAGTTCGCTTTCTGCCGATCTATTTGAAAAGAATATAATCGAATCTCCGTTCTGCGAATGTGGTGCGAGAGAAAATGCTTATCACTACTTCTTGGAATGCCCTAAATATACTCACCTTCGACCAGAACTAATAACGGCTATTTCCCAATTGGTAGTCCTTCTATTAATGTCATTCTTACTGGAAACACTTCTTTATCTTACGAGTCTAATGTATCTATCTTCACAGCTGTTCAAAAATACATCCGAGAAACGAAGCGCTTTTAGCGCGTACCCCAAGTCTTACTTATACTTGTTACATCTAAACATACTTAATATTTACTATATAATGCATCTTTGTTTACTCCTTTACTCCTACTGCTCTATTATTGTTCATCCACTTCTCCTTTTCTTTCTCAATTTTTTGTCAATATTAGCTGGTAGTTTCTTTGTGTTTTTTTTTTTCGCAATTGCATAATTGTACGCTATAACTATCAATTAAGATTTTGATTACATTCTTTTGTCTCCGTTAAAACACAGTTGTCTTTTCGATTGCACATTCCTAGGTGAAAATTAAACGCGACTTCTAACTAAATTAATCTCTGTCATATAATAATTGATTTTTTTTACCTCCATTTTGTTTCATTTTTCTTTTCCATTTTTTTCTCATGACCTTTTGGTTTAGTATTTATTAATTGCAAAATACCTTTTTTGAAAATGTCTTTGATATATTTTCAACTAAATGAATTTTGTGCATGATAATGCCATGAACTGTATATATGTAAATTGTTTAAACTGGGACAGGACACTCATAAGCTTTCATAGCTTTCTGCCCAATCCAAAATGTATTGTGTAAATATTGTTCATCAAAATGTAAATATATCGGATAAATATGTTTAAACCAACTTATTTCATACAAAATTGTACACATTTTTTAAAATAATTGTCCAAACTGTAAAAAAAACAGACTTGATACGTTAAGGTAGAGAATGAATTGTTTCCGAAAATTATATCAGTATAACAAACTTTCAACTTAATACCTTTTGCAAGCGTCTATAATAATATAATAACGACATACACGAATGCAAAACGTTATTATTTTTTGAGGTGATGAAGCAGAATTCTGAACATTGCCAGATGTCAGAAATGCTTTTCAAATAATAAATAATTGTTTTGCCACTTTTAAGAAATAACATCTATTCAAAGTGTACAGTATTAATGCTATTAAATAAATACAATGTATACCCTTAAAAAGCCATTTAAAATTTTCAAAACGGGTGCTGACCGCATATGGTCAAAACATGGTAAGGGCAAGCCGTTGTTTCCTTAAGCAGTGAACTTGACACTTACTGCTGAGTTTTAGTTGGTTCCAATACCGAAAAAAGCTTATGAACTTTATACATAATCGAACTAAAATGAATAATATATAAATTACACGGATGCTGCTTTTTTTTGTTTGCACGCCTACAAAAAGAGAATATTGCATGAATTGATTATTATGTACATGTAACTCTATTTGCACAGAAATGCCTATTATTCGCATTAAGAAATAAACATTAGGTTAAAATATTTATATTTATAGCATATTTATATTTATAGCACAATTACTCCAGTTTTGTTCTACCTTAACTGCAGAAATGTTCAAATTTAAAGACAAATTTAGTTTTGTGTCCATGCAAATCATATCTGAATGGGGCATTTTGAGCAACAATAAACTGCAATATACTTCCTGAAGCTGCCTATATATGTATAATGAACTGTAATAAGTCAGTTAATTCTGTATTTGTTTGTTTATTTGTGTTGGGTTTAACAGAGACAGTAGGAAATGAGCAGTATTTTGGGGTTTTTACCCGAAACTAAGCAAGTTGGTAGCTTTGTATGTATTTTTTGACAATCGCAACTTTTCGGCCCATTCCGTAAGATAAATTTTGTTAAAAATCTAACGTATGAACAATTTTTCAAAATTCCGGCGATTGCACTGTTTGTTAGGGATTTCTTTTAAGGAATCGGACGAATTCTGAAGTAAACTGCACCTCCATGAAGATGACCCATATTAGTATATGTTACGTGCAATTTTTGTTGGGTGGGGGTATATATAAATTGCTGTAAGTCATTAATTTTATTCAATGTATGTCATAATTATATCCTTTAATATTGCTGGGCAACTGGTTATCTGCCTGTGAAACAGATTTTGAAATATTTGGAATTGGGTTTCTGCCTTCTGGCAACACTGAACTACAAAATTGTTCATTTTTAGGTCCCCTGCCCATTTTATGTAAATTATCAGAGTTTTGAATGTAAATGAGGCAAAACGTTCTGTAAATGAATTGACTCGATAAAATATATCACTAATACGTGCAAGATCATGTTATTCTATAAGGAATTGTTTGACAGTAAAATGCTTATTGCAATCAACTTCCATTTACAATGAGTATTCTCGCTAAAGTTATGAAAAACAAGGTCTTAGCATTTAACTACTTCATAGTGATCATGCAGTTTGTTTAATATTTCAGCGAATTATTGCCCATTTGGGCAAAAAGAACCGGGTATCTTCTGTGGAAGAGGACCGACAAGTCGGCCATGTCCGACAGGAACTTATTAATATTATCGAATCTCCGTTCTGCGAATGTGGTGCGAGAGAAAATGCTTATCACTACTTCTTGGAATGCCCTAAATATACTCACCTTCGACCAGAACTAATAACGGCTATTTCCCAATTAATAGGCCTTCTATTAATGTCATTCTTACTGGAAACACTTCTTTATCTTACGAGTCTAATGTATCTATCTTCACAGCTGTTCAAAAATACATCCGAGAAACGAAGCGCTTTTAGCGCGTACCCCAAGTCTTACTTACACTTGTTACATCTAAACATACTTGATAGTTACTATATAATGCATCTTTGTTTACTCCTACTGCTCTATTATTGTTCATCCACTTCTCCTTTTCTTTCTCAATTTTTTTGTCAATATTAGCTGGTAGTTTCTTTGTGTTTTTTTTTTTCGCAATTGCATAATTGTACCCTATAACTATCAATTAAAGGAATAGGAATGGATGGATTGATGTCTGTCTAATATAAATATTCATCATTTAAAAAGAGGAACCATGACAGTTTTCCTATTGACATCAACCCTATAAGAGAGAAATTCGTGTTTTAAGACACTATTTTTTACTTGAGAAATAAGTTCATGGGCGCCGCCATTTTGGCGTTCTGTCATTCTCGCGAGACAGACGAGACCGAGATTGTGACGTGTTATACCCACTTCCGGTATAGGTGTACACGCTGGTACAACTGAAATATATCTTGATGAAGAACTTATTAATTTTATTGCGTACATTATATATTATTTATGAAATATGGAACTGAATTGCTTTAATTAATTAATTGAAGACGCCGCGACATTAATTATTATTTCTCCGATATTCAAGCTTGCTGATGATCCCACCACATCAATGACTGCTTAATTTTCAAAGATAAACCATAAATTTAATTTGGGTACTATGAGAAACTTCTTCAAATTGACGATATATCCTTTTATTTTGTACTTAATTTTCGCTAAACAAGCTGTCCAAATAGGGTACATCGCCGGTCATGTATCTTTTTTTCAGGTAAAATATCAACTAAATCCAATATATATCTACTTACCAAATTCCTTTTCCCGACATATACGCATTTCTACTACCGTAAATTTAATCCAATAAAACAAAAAAATCATAAATCTACTTAATATTTAAAATGATTATTGGTAACTGAAAAAAATGTGTTGCTATTTTATGACGTGCTGTAATTTACTACAGTATAATTTGACAGGTGTGGAACCTAATTCCCCCTAATTGTACACATTTTTCAAAATAATTGTCCAAACTGTAAAAAAACAGACTTGATACGTTAAGGTAGAGAATGAATTGTTTCCGAAAATTATATCAGTATATTAACAAACTTTCAACTTAATACCTTTTGCAAGCGTCTATAATAATATAATAACGACATACACGAATGCAAAACCTTATTATTTTTTGAGGTAATGAAGCAGAATTCTGAACATTGCCAGATGTCAGAAATGCTTTTCAAATAATAAATAATTGTTTTGCCACTTTTAAGAAATAACATCTATTCAAAGTGTACAGTATTAATGCTATTGATAAAACAATGTATACCCTTAAAAAGCCATTTAAAATTTTCAAAACGGGTGCTGACCGCATATGGTCAAAACATGGTAAGGGCAAGCCGTTGTTTCCTTAAGCAGTGAACTTGACACTTACTGCTGAGTTTTAGTTGGTTCCAGTACCGAGAAAAGCTTATGAGCTTTATACATAATCGAACTAAAATGAATAATGTATAAATTACACGGATGCTGCTTTTTTTGTGTACATGTAACTCTATTTGCACATATTTTACACTCGATATCGTATAAACGTACATGTATTTATTGAGCTTCAAGCAATTCTTGGGTTTTTAGACAATATGTTGCTTTGATCATTTTAATTAGCGATCAAGTGTTTTCCCATTTCTTGATTCGCCATAACGTTGAAAGTTTGTCGTACTGAAACATGGAAAAGTCGTACAAAATATTGTCTTTGATTTTAGGAATTATTTTCATATTGTGCGGACACAACATCAACGCAAGTGAGTTGCAAGTTTAAGCATTTTTCCGCTTATTTTTTATCATATTTTTCTAGGGCTCTTTTATATTAATGTTACAGTACGAATGGATAATTACATGTAAACCTCGGCCACGTGTAATTCAAAGGAAATGTTCAAAATATTCATTAAGGACACTATAACTTCGTTGCTTTACAGCAGTGGTAGAAAATGTGCTTTACTTCGGTTAAAAACATAACTTATATAAATTTATGTCGCCAACAAAAGTGTTTGTGACTTATTTTATCAAAGTCAAAATACTATAGTTTTAGACGGTTCGGAAAGATATACGACACCATTTGAGAACTAAAAATGAATGCAAAATTTGAAAGTTATATTGCAAATTACTCGGATGTGTAAATAGTCTTCGTTCACGAGGCTTTAAAGTGATATTTTTCCAGATTTTATATGGTCTTGAGGAAAACCCTTTTTATCCAAAATTCGGACGTAAGAAACAGTTTACTACATGTATTAGATATTTAGTCTTGGTTGTAATATAAGAAATCAATACATGTACGTAGAATTCCGATATAATTATTTGGTAATAGATAAAAATGGCTATGTATAGGGCCGGCAAGTCCAAGTCCAAGGGAAAAAATCTTTCCTTGGCCTTTAAAAATATCAGGATCCTTGCTGTTCGCTTACAAACCCTATATCAAGTAGAGAAACTGATAGTGAAAAGCATGGATCCTGATCAGACTGTGCGGATGCGCAGGCTGGTCTGGATCCATGCTGGTCGCAAGCGCATTATGTTGGTTTTGTCATTTTACGTAAAGGCTGATATAGAGATTTTAGAGATTTTGTTGACTCCTTTATGAGCAGTCACGGATAATTTTGATAAAATATTTTATTTCCTAAACCAACCACATGTCTTAGGAAAAAGGGGAGCTAAGGGAATCGGTAGCGTTATAGAAATGCCTATTATTGGCATTAAGAAATAAACATTAGGTTAAAATATTTATATTTATAGCACAATTACTCCAGTTTTGTTCTACCTTAACTGCAGAATGTTCAAATTCAAAGACAAATTTAGTTTTGTGTCCATGCAAATCATATCTGAATGGGGCATTTTAAGCAACAATTAACTACAATATACTTCCTGAAGCTGCCTATATATGTATAATGAACTGTAATAAGTCAGTTAATTCTGTATTTGTTTTGTTTATTTGTGTTGGGTTTAACAGAGACTGTAGGAAATGAGCAGTATTTTGGGTTTTTACCCGAAACTAAGCAAGTTGGTAGCTTTGTATGTATTTTTTGACAATCGCAACTTTTCGGCCCATTCCGTAAGATAAATTTTGTTAAAAATCTAACGTATGAACAATTTTTCAAAATTCCGGCGATTGCACTGTTTGTTAGGGATTTCTTTTAAGGAATCGGACGAATTCTGAAGTAAACTGCACCTCCATGAAGATGACCCATATTAGTATATGTTACTTGGAATTTTTGTTGGGTGGGGTATATATAAATTGCTGTAAGTCATTAATTTTATTCAATGTATGTCATATATCCTTTAATATTGCTGGGCAACTGGTTATCTGCCTGTGAATCAGATTTTGAAATATTTGGAATTGGGTTTCTGCCTTCTGGCAACACTGAACTACAAAATTGTTCATTTTTAGGTCCCCGGCCCCTTTTATGTAAATTATCAGAGTATTGGATGTAACTGAGACAAAATGTTCTGTAAATGAATTGACTCGATAAAATATATCACTAACACGTGCAAGATCATGTGATTCTAGAACGAATTGTTTTACAGTAAAATGCTTATGCAACCTACTTCCATTTACAATGAGTATTCTCGCTAAAGTTATGAAAAAATAAGGTCTTAGCATTTAACTACTTCATAGTGATCATGCAATTCGTTTGATATTTCAGCGAATTATTGCCCATTTGGGCAAAAAGAACCGGGAATTATCTGTGGAAGAGGACCGACAAGTCAGCCATGTCCGACAGGAACTTATTGTGAAATATCTCCAGTCTACACCCATGCCATCTGCTGTCGTAAGTTATTCATCGTAAATTTATTGTGAACGTTATCAATAAAGTATGATAATTTTACAATTGTCTGGCGGAATATACAAGTGAATGCTAAAAATGGCACAAGCCATCATGGATGCATTTCTCGTTTGCAGTGGTCCGCATGTATTGCAACATGGCAACAAATTTATGAATCGCGAATAACTCGTTCCCTGTCGACTCAAACTCATGTCATTTAAAATGGTTCACTACACCTTGAATGTTAAAAAATCTTTTATTTGTTGTTGTATTTTTAATTCCTTACATCTGCCGATAGTCCAGATTTACTGACATTCCACTGGAGTGAGTCACCCGCATGTGTTTCCTTTATATAAATCATATTGCATATATCCAACCACTTTAGAAAATGTAAAAATCGAATTATGTTGCTGATGTTATTTACGGTATGCGAAACATGCTAATTAAATCAATTGAAACTCTTTTTTATTTAAAAATTTACTGGGTGAAAAACTTTTGATCAATGGTTGTGATTGTTATGTAAATGGAAATAATGATTTTTAAAAATTGAGAAAGCTTGATGATGATGATGATGATAGTGATGATGATGATGATGGTGGTGATGATGATGATGATAATGATGATGATGACGTTGACGACGATGATGATGATGATAATGATTATGGTGTTGGTGGTGATGATTACGTTGACGATGATGATATTGATGTTGATGACAATGATGATGGTGATAATGATGGTGATAATGATGATGGTGGTGATGATCATGAAGCTGCATTAAAAAGTATTATGACAAGGATAAAAATAATAAAAATGATGATGATGTGGATTATTTTTACAAGTAATATCATGATGGCGCACATACCAAACATGTCAATATTTTCTTTACAGCTGTCTATTGCACAAATGGTCTGCCGAAGTATAAAGGCAATAAAAGCAGTAAAGGCATAGTTACGTGTGATAAAAATGAACAAAGATGTGGCAGTAAATACATGTGTGAAACTATACCAAACTATGACGAGAAAGTTTGCTGTCCACGAGAGTCTAACTGAAAAATGAATTGACAAAATAAATATTCATGACGACACACCGTTACAAAATAAAGCATTTATAAAATCTATTGTTCTTTTACTATATGTACGCGATTTAAGGAAAAATCCTTGTTATTAAAGTAATGCTGATTATATCAGAATAGATCTTCAATAGAAGCAGAAATATGAAAATATACAAAAAAGATCCAGTGTATACATCAATATTATTTAAAGATATCATCTAAAAAAGAAATAATAAAAAGTGGAATACATTAAATAGACTCATTATGCAAAATAAGTTTCGATAATCTGATTGTAAATACGATATAAACATGTTCCACATAAATGACAGTCTCAATCAAACCGATTCTGCAATTTTCATGTAATTTAGCTGTTTTATTATTCTTTTTTCCAGATATTTATATCTCAATCTAGATAAAAAAATCACATTTAATGTTTTACATCTGCGGATGTTTCTCTATTCAAAATTTCACTATTTTCATGTATTTATGATGAACTTTGTTAAAGCCGGTGCTAGAGGGCGTTAACGATAGTTTGCACATGCCATTACCATCCATGTACACGCTCAATCAAACCGAGCATGCAATATTTTCAATTTTGCCGTTTTGGACTTTCTTAAATATTTGCTTTTTTATATACAAGGAGTTACTTACCAGCTATGAAATGCCCGTAAATGAATTTGATAGTAGTATCACATTTGAGAAAATACGATATACGTCTAGCAAATTATGTAGATGACTGCTTAGCAGTAAAAACGAAGCAATAATGATATTGTTTAAATACCTATATTAAACAAGAGCACCACTAGGCGGAATATTATATGCCCGAAAGTGTTGTTTTTTTGGGGTTTTTTGGGGGTTTTTTTGGAAGGATGAAGCATTTGTATAAGACATATGAATATATTAAAGTATTTCTTCCTTCAAAAAGCAATCCTCCATCCTCCTTTATAGCCGAAGAACCTTCATATATATATACAGTTGCTGTTTTAAAAGCACCACAATCAAGTTGTTATCTTTTAAGTAAAAATACTACGACAGACGGACGGAAAGACGCCAGGGGTATAACATAATATAAGCAATTTTTAGGGCATATAATTAATGTACTCAATATAAATGATCATCTATGAATTTTGACAGTTGTTAAACTGTTAACAATATTAAGCTCATTTGATATTGACCATTGACCTTGTGTCCCCAATATATATTGTGTTATGCTCCAGAAACCACAATTTCAGTGTTAAGGTTATTGTGACCCTGACCTTTGATCTTATGACCCTAAAATAGGGGTCATGCATTGGACATGGCTGTTCATCCTATAAAATGTTACAGCTGTAGGTTGATTAATACTTAAGTTATTGAGCGGAAACTGTTTTCAGTTTAAGGTAATAGTGACCTTGACCTTTGACATTGTGACCCCAAAATCAATAGGGGTCTTCTACCTAATATTGACAATCATTCTATGAAGTTTGAATATTGTGAACCAAATGGAACTTACGTTATGCTCCAGAAACCACAATTTTCAGTGTAAAGATCATTGTGGCCCTGACCTTTGACCGTATGACCCTAACATCAATAGGGGTCATATATTGGACTTGGCTGTTCATCCAATAAAATTTTACAGCTGTAGGTTGGTAAATACTTAAGTTATTAAGCAGAAACTGTTTTCAGTTTTAAGGTAATAGTGACCTTGACCTTTGATCTTGCGATCCAAAAATCAATAGGAGTCTTTTACCAAATATGGACAATCACCCTATGAAGTTTGAATATAGTGGGCCAAATGGAACTTAAGTTATGTTCCGGAAACTGTTTTCAGTTTTAAGGTAATAGTGACCTTGACATTTGACCTTGTGACCCAAAATCAATAGAGATCTTCTACCCAATACAGACAATCATCCTATGAAGTTTGAATAATGTGGGCCAAATGGAACTTAAGTTATGTTCATAAAACTGTTTTCAGTTTTAAGGTAATAGTAACCTTGACATTTGACCTTGTGACCCCAAATCAATAGGGATATTCTACCCAATACAGACAATCATCCTATGAAGTTTGAATAATGTGGGCCAAATGGAACTAAAGTTTTGCTCCGGAAACCAAATTGCTAACGGACGGACGGACGCCAGGGGTTATAACATAATATGCCCGAAATACTTTCGGCCATATAAAAAGAAATCTTCCCAACCACTAAAGATTCATTGTAAAAAAAAAAGAAGAGAAAAATGGCAACTCACTTATATTAATAATCTGGGCAGTTATTGGTTCGTTTTTCACGGCACTGTAAATTAAGAACATTTAAAACAGTATATCCTTTACACTTCTTTAAATGATAGCGTCCTGTCAAATGTCAGGTTGTTCATGAGACCTGCATAACTTCATTTATGAAAAAGATGGATACCTTAACAATTGCAATATATCTGTCTGCGAAAATTCCTTTCACACATCAACTGATCCAGGATCTAGCTGGTTCAAATTGTACCAGAACATAACCATGGTTGTTTATCAACAGACAATTGTCATCAAATGGCTTTTCTAGAAAAAAAAACACAAGAAAATTGATATCTACGTCTTAGAGAGATGACATTTGCATGGATTATTTTGGTTATATAATTTTATTGAAAGATTCCTACCAACTGACTTACATGCTTCATAACCTCTGATCCCCTTTCAAAATTTCATGTTATTTAGTTCCGCCTATTGTTCTCGTTTAGGGCACACACATTCGTTTACTTGGGGACAATACGCCGCTTTTCGTGGAATGGCACGAAAGTGTCACATTGAAGATTTCATGATAACCGCCCTATGAACACATCTGCGGATGTTTTTAAATTCAAATTGTCACCATTAAGCCGAAGCTAGGGGCGTGGTCTTTAACTCGCACTTTCCACCAAGATTGCAACATGTACAATTTTGTCGTTCTATGCGTTCTTAAGGGATTCTTTTTCTCTCTATTTTACATTACTGGTTACTCTGGTTTCATTCGCACTTAATTACCATTTTGAAATGAAACAATGTAAATTTATATTGAAATCACATTTTTATCAAAAGGCAGGACGTGAAATGGATGAACACTTGGTTTAAAGGAGCAAAATGGTTGCAAACTTGACAAAATGGCTATCCAGTAATGCCCGCTCGTATTTTCTCCAGGTAAATTGGTTTGTATGTTATTTTGAAAATTTTAAATATGCCCATTCATCAAAGCAATGTTAGGATTCAGCTGCCTGGCTTCTGTGCAAATTAAATCGCCAAGTGTCCAACCAGTTTATGCCCTATCCTTTGTTTTATGAATAACAACATTCCCTCTATCTCCAGTTCTAGGGCAAATATTTTCACTAGAAAAAGAACTTTTTTGATGGGATTTTAATGGGAGGCGGAAGTAAGAAAGTGTAAATGCGCAACACGAAAGGTTTATCGACTTCCGGCGGAGAGTTCATCATGCAGATCAGATAAAAGGTACTCACACTATTATTAAAAAAAAATATTCGTGAAAGTTCAATTTAAATAGAAATTAAAATTTTAACAGCTTTTCATCGAGCCGCAAGACTCCTATGGGTAACACGTCATTTGCGTTTTACTGGCAATCAGCGGTAATCTGCACACTCATTCGAAGAATCTAGGTTTAAAAGGCAGTTATTTCAATATTCAAAAATTTACCAGTTCATGTTAAATGTTGAATCCTGCTTTAGCGGGTTCTACTGGACGTGGGCGGTAGCTTGCAATAACCGATAAAAATTGAAAAACATGTGTTACTGATTGATAGAGTGCGGGTCAAAAACTGCAAAATGCGTAGTTATAAGGTAAAATGTGAGACACATGTTACAGGCTGACTCAATAGCGGTACAGTACATGGCATTTATTGATCTATGAAATGAAATAAAAGTGCACGATATGATAATGAGGTAAAAAAATATTTAGAAAATCAAAGATTTATTTTCTATTCTTATTTATCTATTCAGTTTCATTTATTTGAAAATATGCTTTAAAACCTTCCATGATGAATTTCGTAAATGGACAAGTCGAGCTTCCATGGAACTGTCTAACTTTGACTCCTTACTTTTGTGTCATTTAGACTTAAAATGCATCTTTAATGACGTTTATAGAAAAAAAAACAATAGCTATACTGAACGTAAAATTTTACACAATATTAACATTTCAAATATTTGTCGTCGTTAAACGATAAATTTTCATATCAGCATGAACGAAAAAAGCGATTTCCATCGAATACTATAAAAATGTTAGATAAAATTGTTAGTCTATTGGGTTGTTCAAGTTTATTGTATTTGTTTGTATTATCTCAAGTAGTTTGTTGTAGGAAGCTACTATATAAGCTTATAGACACTGCCCGGAACTAACCAGTACTAAGCAATGAAAGTATAGTTTCTTGCTCGTAACGTGGCCAGCAATTCGTACTGCTCAGTCCCTTGAAAAATATAATCAAACTTTCATTATCTATAATCATTTAGTATCATGGTACAATTCTCTGGTCTTTGCAGTTTGATTTCTTAGGAAGACTATCGTAAAGTTTGAGAGATACCCAGTTGTTCTCCTAATTCCACAGAGAATTTCAACCTAGCTTACACACAACTATTCGCAAAATGTGATCTCACATAATATAAGGGTTTTGCGGTTCAGGCACTACTGGCAGTCATCTCTGCGACTCTTTTTTAAAGCAAACTACTTCCAAAAGGTATCACTAAGTTAAAGGCAGCATTATTTATTATTTAAGTACAGTGAAAGTGTCATAACCGCATGTGAGACTGGCAAAAATAATCATATTTTAGTCAAAAGCAAATTTTTCCCTAAAAAATAATAGCGCTCAATCTTTTTTCCTGCAATCACCGTGAATTAAAGAATTTGGGGGAGAGGGATAAAGTTTTTTTTTCAAAACATTGACTAACTAAAATTCAAGTTGTTGATTTTTTAAATTTTTCTTTAGCCCAAGGCAAAACAAAAGAAGATAATACCAAAATTTTGGTTTTTTCCATTGTCTGTTTTTTAGGCTTTTTTTCCTGACTAGTTGGCCCGATCACCAATTTTGACTGTTTTTAAATCAATTTTCCCTTGTTTTTAACTTTTTTTCCCAAATTTTCTTGCTGATTTCCCCTAAATTTTAACAAAGCCTTTTTTCACGTTTTGTTAAATTAACCAATTTTGCCTGAAAAAAAGTAGGGACAAGACCACCCCTTCCCAAATCAATCGGAAAAAATTTCTTTTTCCCAACTTATCAATTTCCAAACGAAAAATTTTTTTAATTAAAATGGAAAAAGGGAAAAATCTACAGCACATACAGACAGTGGACTTTTTTAATAAAATGGTTTGTTGAGTTGTCGCCCGTCTCAAATAATGTAAGATTATGTATTTTAAATTAGAATGGCTAAGACTGTTTTTTCTTTTATTTCAAATGCATAGACTAGGAAATTATACAGAAAAATATTGCAGTGTGTTGTTATAAAACATCCAAAAGATGTGTTGAAGTGATACTGTCAAAAGCAATGCGAATCTTTTTGGGTTGGTCTTTTTTTATAGATTTACAGTATGTTGCAAACAACAACACATCTGGAAGTCTGTTATTTAAGGAACTTCACTAAGGTACAAAGAGACCCAACTAAAGTTTAAAGGGACGCCGCTGACTATTTCTGACATGAAGGGACCGGAAATAATTTCTGGAGATTGATGTTTAATTTGATGCAGATTTAGACCAATAACTTTTGATCATTTGCTCACTCAGTTTCTTTGCGGAATAACTATTTTATTGTGAAAAAATGACCTAAAATTTAAAAGCATTGTTTCCACTCAAATTGGGCTAAGAATAGCCCAAAAATACGATTTTTCAATTTATTTCTTAGTATATTTCTTACTTAAGTTTTGCCATATTTCTGTTTTAAGTGCCTAAGTTGATCTGTATAGGAATTCAAATTTAAGAATGATTTCATGCATTCTGGCCTTAATTGAGTTCCCTTACTAACTGATCAACATTTGACTTAATAATATACTTTTGTTTTAAAAAATCATCTTCATATGATCGACGAATTGGAACATTACAGTAACACATGCAAATGTTAAATAGTTTACTCTAGGCACAGGGTTTGTAATATCTCAGGTAGCTTCTTCGATGAAGATGGAAATGTAATGATATTCAAAGATCGTGCAAAGTTTAAATGTTCAACCTACTATACAAGCCAACAAAATTACAGAAATGTATATTTTCGATAGAAACTAATTAAATATCACTGCACCAAGGGGAGGCATGGATTATATATTTTTAAAGAAAATACAATGTATTCAAAATTGTTTACTTAGTCACACATCGGTCGCTTTCTTTATAGAAAAGCTGATGGAGAGTAAAAATTGCCCTTTTTCTTTATGACATGCCCTTTTCTTCATTCAATAAGTAAATGTATTTGTTGATCTATTTTTCATTAGCTGAAAGCAATTGTCCATAACTCGGTCGAATTGTTTCTATGGTTTTCGCGTATCAAACTAATATTAACCCATATGTTACTTTCTTAATATATTAGCGTGGATTAATATGGATTAAGCGTTATACGAAAATTGAATATTTCAAACGGCATAAGAGAAAAATCTTTTCATATCGAAAGATGGAAAAGATGCTCAAAATTTGTTGCTTGATTTCAGGATTTATTTTGATATCATGTGGACAGAAAAGCAAAGTTGGTGAGTTGTCATATTTTTACCTTTTCTCACTATAAAGCGTTGTTTTTAAGGTATAAAACCCTAACGGGCACTGGAAAAGAGACTGAAAGATTGACATCATAGGTCGGATATGTCTTAAAGAACACTGTATGCAAAGTTTAAACAAAATTTACCGTACTTTAAACGAATTATGGCCTACCCTACCCATTTTAACACTTGTTTCGCCATTTTCTTAGCTAGAAAGCCTAATTGAGAAATCCGTAAACTTTACTAAAACGAGGGACTAATTTCAAAGCTTCGCTAATGTTTTTATTCAAAAGTATATTAGATGCTAATTACTTTTACCGTTTAGTTTTGATTTTATTAGACTTTGAAAATAGCATGCTTCTTATTTATCATAAGATTTAGCATTATTTAGCAAAATTAACACTTTTTTATTTCCAAAAGTTAAGTTACAAAAAACAAAAAAACATGTCAACTAATAGCAAAAATAACAACAACAAAAAACTCCGGCCCTAAAATTCAATTGACAGTAATTCAAACCTATTGAATACTAGAGGAGAAAATGCATTCGGATGGTCATACCTTAGATTGTATAAATGTCGGATTGGACGGAAGTTTCTGGCGTAAACTGTAAACAATTCGTGCCCTACAATCTTATTTTGTTTTATACATTGTATTTTAGTAAGAACAGAGGTTGATTACTGTCCTTTTGGGCAACCATTACCGGGAATATTCTGTGGAAGAGGATCGTCACGTCAGCCATGTCCCACGGGAACTTATTGCGAAATATCACCAGTCGACGCCTATGCCGTCTGCTGTCGTAAGTTATAAATGAGCCGCGTCACGACAAAACCAACGTTATGCGTTTGCGACCAGCATGGATCCAGACCAGCCTGCGCATCCGCGCAGTCTGATCAGGATCCATGCTGTTCGCTTACATACTCTACAACAAGTAGAGAAACTGATAGCGAACAGTATGGATCCTGATCAGACTGCGCGGATGCACAGGCTGGTCTGGATCCATGTTGGTCGCAAACCCATTATGTTGGTTTTGTCGTGACGCGGCTCATATATTGTTTATTATTTAAGATTTACAATTGCATGATGGGAAAGATGGTGGAATATAACCCAAAGCACTGGCAAATATATATATAAGAGAGATGGGCAGTGTATGACAACAAATCTAGTTTAAATTTCGATCTTTCGTAGGATACAGCGAGGTCCTTTGTGAGTGTGCACCTTCCATGCTAAAGAAGTAGCAGAAGAAAATCGAAATCCCCAAAGAAGGCCCAAATCAATAAAGTTGAAAATGGTTCAAGCTCTGTTTAAGTCTGTTAAAAAATATTGCTGGAATTTCGTGAATTTTGTCTCCGTTGCACTTTTCAGCAACCACATGGAGAGAGATGCCCTTAAGGGTATGCATTGGCGATTATTCACACAAAAGGGATACTCTTTCTCCACTTATTAATTTATCATGTTAAGAATAATTTTGTATTTTCTATTTGTACAATAACTCATTAAGTTTTGATCATTTCTAGGACTCTGATGCCGAAGTGAATTAGAATAGTGATAAGCTTTGTTTGTGGCGATGATAATGGTTATGATTATGGTTGCTATGTGGCTACTGCTGCTACTGATTTTGACTATAGATGATATTAATAGTGGTGATAATAGCAGTAATGTTGATTAAGTGGTAGTGATGATGAATATCATTATGATAATGATTATGTAAATATTGTATTTTGATGATGATGATTAAAACGTGATGATGATAATTATGCCAAAAGTTTCGTAATGTCGTTATGGCGAACATACCAAACATGTTACTTGTATCGTTACAGCTGTCTTTTGCACGTTTGGTCTACCGAAGCAAAAAGGCAAGAAAGTCAAGAAAAGGATAGTAACATGTGATAAGAAAGAAAAAAGATGTGGCCGTAAATTCATATGTAATACTATACCACACTATGAAGAGAAGGTCTGCTGCCCACGGAAGCCAAGACGAAAAATGAAGGCTAAGAAGGATTAAAACAGACACATCAGTACAAAATAAAGTTTTAATACAAGATTTTTGTTAGAGTGTAAAGATTATCCACAGTATTGAACAAGAGTATAGCTGACCATAATAATATTTTTAAGAGAATAAATCAAAGTGAGCATCCAACAATTTCAATTTTTTCACCGTTTACGGCGTTCTTTACCGTTTCACTTATTTCATTGTGTTGTCACAACAACTTTTTTTTCAAAACAGTGAAACCTTTGAGGTCGTCCAGCCCCTATATTGAGAGTTTGATTTAGCCTGTCCAGTTAGGCAACAGTAAATAATGCAAGTCACCGTTCATGTCCATGCCCCGGGTACCGGAGTAAGTAAAAATTTCACGTTTATGCCCCGGGTACTGGAGTAAGTAAATGATAAGTCATTCCTTACAATAGGCCCTTTAATTGTAATCAATGACTTTAATTATATGAATAACTAAAATAAACATATCAGCGTTCCAGAAACATTTTGGTTTGTTTAATTGTCATTCAAGTAAGACAATTCTAATTGATCAAATGACCATTGAAATTTAAAAATGCGTGACTTGTTCAGACAGCGAGAAAAGGAAATCTCTAAAGAACCCCCAAAACGGCAAAACTGAAATTTAGCAGGCTCGATTTAACTGAGTCTGTTCGTGGAAGATTTGAACTTGGTTTAATCATTTCAACATATTTGAAATACAAGAATTCCAACATTCACAAAGAAATACTTCTATCTTTTTACAGAGTGGAATAGAATACAAGACTTGCATATGTTATTAATGGTCCTTAATGGTCATCTGATCTTCTTATTGAATTAGTGAATTATAGATAACTTTGAATTCGAAATGAAAATGATCTAGAAATAAAGATACAGTTTTATGAAGCCGATGCATCTTTCAGCATTAAAAGTTTTCATATAAATGTTATCCATTACATAATATTTGCAACAGAACAACATACGTGTCATATGTTTAGATGTATATTTAAAAAAAAATCTGGAAACAAAGGGATCCCTCGGAAGCATTAATCTCATCAAAATTACATAAGAATTGCAGACTCGGTTTGATTGAGTCTGTACATGAGAGATAATGAATAAGTGCAACATCCCCCACGCCCCCTAGCACCGGCTGGAGCGGTACTCAATTCTCAACACTTAATAGTGCTGGCATCAATGATCCCGAAGGACCAGAAAAATATAACAACACTGAAGTGAAGTACGGGGCAACTTTTTACAGCTGCCACATAGCACTTGACACCTGCTGTTGTGAAGCATAAAAATCTGGAAACAAAGTGATCCCTCGGAAGCATTAATCACAACAAAATTACATAAGAATTGCAGACTCGGTATGATTGAGTCTGTACATGAGGGAAAACATACAAAATAGAGAAAAAAATTGAGTATAAAACAGTAAGATTTAGCACGAGGACACTTCCATAACAAAACACGTGTGTAGGAGATGATCACATACACGTATCACAGCATTCCCGTTCTCTGCCGAGAAAGGTAAAGAGCGCTGTTCGCCCCTTCGCTAAGGGCAGACTTTTAAAATATGCCATCTCCTTATTGTTTATGATAAGAGCCTGTTTTTTTCCACAGATATGTCTTGATTTGGTATATGTACCACTATAGTAACGCAAACCAAGCGGGTTTTAGTTTTCGTCATGAAATGTTAAGAAGCTCATATAAAATTTATCAGAAAATCCTGAGTAGACAGTTTTTTTTACCTTTTATCTTATATATATATATATATTAGTATTATTTCTATGGTGATATACTTCACACTTTGTTCGCAAAGACATGGATTAACCTGGGAAAATTTTGCAAATCACGCATTTAATTATATAACTGACTTTGTATACTGGACTTATCCCACTTGTAACAGAAAATGTAATGTGGTGCGGCTGCAAGGAAAAATAGATGCCGACAATACTGACATTGGTAAGACAGTACAGATTTGCAAGCATTTGTAGCATTTCTTAAAATAAAAAAAGTTATCAGTGAAATATGTGAAACATTTTAATGACATATAGGAACATACATTGTAATCTAACATCATTACATGAAAATAAAGAATAAATAAGAATCCTATATGTATGTACTCAACAGCGAGTGACACAACAGATTATTCTTACTTCCATACATAGGAAAATAAATGTTTTCATGTTAACTGCTCCATTCAAAATGCAATTAGGTCGTTGTGAATTTTGTTTTGTCATGTAACTGCGTCTAAATGAAAATCTGTTGTTTTTTTTTCCGTTTCACCTACCGCTACTATCTTTTCTTTTATTAGAAAAATATTACAAATGATAGTTTAACATCTAAATTGTGGTTAAAGTTACGATACAAATTAATGAATTATGTAAAATGTGGTCTTGATTTTCTGACAGATTAGAGCGTTTCTGTCGTCGTCGGCAGCCTCGAAAATACATTTCTGCTTTCAACGGAACCCCATTTATTGATAAATCAAAATTATACAATCGTACAATTATGCATAACAATATACAAATCATACAGTAAATCATAACACATTAAAAAAAGGAGACATAAGATTTTCACATTACATTTAAAGTATAAATTTTGAAGTTGATGAGATAATATAAAAAAATGTTAGAAGAGAACAATGGTTTATTATTAAATTATATCATATTTATAAACAGATGGTTTTTTGGGATAATTTTACTTTCATTTATATACAATTAATTGTTTTTTTTATCCTGTCCTCCAAAGTGTCCCCGGCAACATAACCTAAACGAAAAGTGTATGGATGGTTATTGAAGAAAGAGTAAAAAAGTATAATATGAAAGTATCATGTTGTGTGTACTTCACGTATATGGTAGGTAGACTTATAAACACCATGGACAAGGATTATCTCAATGAAAATAAACCACATTTCATGTCTCCTAACGAGATAGTTGATCGAAATACTACTCTCATCACAGGATCTTTATATGTATTATTGGAGAAGCTTAAATTTGTGTATAAATGCAAAAAAAAAAATCTTGTAAAAAAGAAAATGACAATAATTCTTCATTAGCATTGCCATGATTGCTATGCATTGCTATGCTTCTAAAAAGTCATGTCTCATAAAGAAGGATAACTACCATAAATTTCCTAACATATGTTAACTTATTTACTTCCTTTTATTAGAAGAGCTAATTTTCTTCTTGAATAAAGTTAGTTTTTCAAAGCTTCCAATTACATAAAACATAAGAAGAGTCAAATAATATTAAAATCAGCCGGAACTGATAGTCTCTGCCCACTCTATCGTGGACCTGAACTCAACCATATTACGACCTGGGGCCTAGAAGCTCCACAACGGTCTTTCTGCGACAACGCGCGCCCCAGGCCGTGTCAGTTGCACTCTCGACTCTCGACCTCCAAAGGTTGTCGGTACAAGATGTAATATTGCATAATTATCTTTATATGCTGATAATAAATTGTTCTAGAACAAAAATATTATTTTTCATCACATAAATGTTCTTACTTAAAGGTCCTGTAACACATTTTTTTTATGGTTTTAAATTATAAATATGATATTCAAACTAAGATTTATCAATAATGTAGGTTCCAAAGAGCAATATTTATAAAGATATTACCGAATTTAACATTTCATGTAAATAAAGGGAGGTAATAAAAAATTTATTTTCTATAAAGTTTAAGTCAAATTTTCAATAAGAAAATGAATGCAATTTAGTAGTTAATGTTACAGTATAATATGCACTATTTGCAGTTAACATAATTTTTAACATATTTCTTCAGAAATTTTTAAAATTGTTTTATTTTTAATAATTGTACCTTATGTAAATTTACAACTTAAAGTGTTGGTTTACCACTTTTGAATCACAAAAAAACTATATCAATTTTTTTTCAAGAAATATTTTATTATGAAACCAAAAAAAGATACTTTTCTTAGTCTATTGTTTTAATCACCAATTTGTTCTTTTAAAATTCATTATCAATGTGATTGTAGACCTTAGTTAACCCAGCCTGAATTTATATAATAATTACGAAATGGCTGGAAACTTTTTCGAGAGTCCCAAAATTAGATAGTTTTTTTCTCCAGTCAATGGGAAAACTTAAATTATAGCAATAATAAATTGACCTTATTTAAGTTTATAAAATTTAATAATTTACCTGTAAAGTATTAGAAATTTTTTAGATTTCTGTCATCACTGCAGCAATCGTTCATTACACTCGCTGGTAATACGGTGTGATATAGCACACATAGTTTGAATATACGGACAAAGACAGACTTAAATGCATTTGAAATGGTGCATGGGGCGTGGGTCCGGGCGATATGCTCTCCTAGAACGTTTCTGGTTCGTTCTATGTCATTTCTTTAAGTATTTTACTGTATTTACAATATTTCTTTTGGGCACATTTTCAACATTTATGGTAGTATCATTTCCAGGATGAGAAATTTAAAAATTTAATATTCATTAGTGGACAAAGATATTATACTTAAGGTTAACAGCCGCTGTGTGAACACATGCAGAAGCACACAATTAATTAATCTGGAGAAGAATAAGATTATTTCCTTTACATTACATTTTTGATTTGTATACATGTATATTATAAACGATGTATGCCAGCTTTTCATTTCAAATTTTTTTATTGTTATCATGTTAAAATAATAATAATAAAAATAAGCGACCCCTCGGAAGCATGTATCCATGTTTAAAAAGTGAATTCTGATTAAGCCGGTGCTAGGGGACGTGGATGGTAAATTGCAATAAACACTACCATCTATGAATAGCTCAATCAAACTGAGCCCGCAACATTTTCAATTTTGCCGTTTTGAATGTTCTTTGGGGATTTCGTTTCCTCTTTTCTATGATTTCCTATATTGCATTGTTTTAATCCGTTATTCGCCCTTGTGTCCTAGTCTGATTTGGTTAGGTGGTCTGCTGGGCTGTTTTTCTGTGTTGCTAGTGCATCTCTTCCTGTTTATCTTTGTTTGGTAAGGTGTGTCCTTTAGACGAAGTTATGTTAAAACTGTCTGATTATCGATTCTCTAGTTTCTGAAATAAATAAAGTTATTCGTCAGTATAAATAATTAGTTGCTTTGCCTTATAAGACTTATTTGTTAGAATAATTGCATGTGGTCGACAATGGTAAAGTCAAGTTACTGTCGAGGCCCCATATCACCGGCATAAGTTAAACTTTGGTTTGAAAAGCAGTACAAATTTAATTTAGAATTAAAGAACATATCCGCATGTGACAAATTAGTGTGCTTTGAAATAAAAAGCGACGTATTATCAGCAAGAAAAGAATGCTGTAAAAGTTAACATTTATTAAGCAACTTTATAGATATAAAATAAACAGTACATTATTTATATACTTATTATTATGGTTTTAGAAACTAAAAGTACAAAATGCTTTAATCTGTTCAACAGTTTACTTTAATTCGGATTTGGTTATAATTAATTTTCTAAATCAGTGGACGCTTTTAAATTGATTATAATTGTTAGACATGTTTTTCAATCATAATTAATATTACCGAAACAGACTTTATTTGCCTCGGAAGTCAAATGTATACATTGCGCATTCGTTATACATATGCACATAATTATTACACTCTCTGTTTTTGTTTACATCTACTTCATGATAGAACTACTTTCAATCCGTATTAAGTCCGATATTATTATGAATAATCGTCGAGGTATTCCGATTAATTTGTCTTTTGACATATGCCTGTGATATTGCAGCAGTGATTAAAATCTCTGAATAATGACATGATATCTAGTGTCGCATTAAAGATTTCATTATCACCGCCGTATGAACACATCTGTGTGTGTTTCTAATTTCAACATTTTACAATGTTTTTTTTTTTTGTTTTTTTTTCATAGATGGTTGTCATAAAAAGCGGGCAAAATAACCTAAAGTTGTTAATAATGTTCAAGTACAAACATTTGAATCGTCCAAGAGGTAAAAAATTGGAAATAGAGCTAGGCTTACGAAAATATCTCTAAAAGAACGTAAGGGGAGTAGTTTACAGCTGCAACACGACACAAACAACGCTGATGTGACAATAAAATAAATCATATATGACTATGTTTGTGACTTTCTTGTTGACTGCTTTTTTTATGCTTATAATTTTTAGTTGCTTTAATATCTTACTTCCATGTACTTAATTGTGCTTATGCTTATATTTTCTTTTTTAGCTGCTTTACTTTTGTTTAGTTCATATACTATTGTTTGTCGGAAAATAGCTCATGAGCTAATGTTTTCTGTTTATATGTATCCGACGTAAAATAAATTTTCTTGTATCTTGTATCTAGTGATGATCTTGTGAAATAAACAGCCAGTCTGTACATGTACTTTGCGAGGTAGTCACGCATTGTCAGTAAATATGACCTCATATTTCGAAATATATAAATGTCCAGTCTGTAGTATGAGTCAGAAAAGTTGCGTTGTTTTTAGAAAATAAAATATTAAGTATTGTTTGGTCGTCTACAATACCTCGCTTTTATGGCAATTATTGCCCTCCGTACCTGTCGAAGATAACTAATTTCTCTGACGTAATGTATCACTACGCTGTTCGTTTTGCGTTTTTTACTACAAAAAGTAGTACATAATGAAACAAAGCTGTTTTTGCAAGAATGAAAGTTTATCCAAAATACATCAATGAAAAATTATAAAATAATAAAATATTTGTGTTTGTAATTGATTAAATAGTTGCAACTCCATTGATATGTGAAAATCTTCGGTCTGAATAATTTATGTCTATTTTTAGAAAATTCAACATATTCGGATAGCGTCGGTGTCCAAAACATTCGCAGTCAATGCCGGTGAAATTTGTATGAGATTTCTACCCTGGAATAACACAAGACTTCCTGAAGATTATTGCATATTATTATTAAGTAAGTGGAGTGTAATATAGAGGAATTTCATAGGAATTGTGTTTAAGATTAATCTCAAATTTCCCTTCCCCGTAAGTAAGATTTTCAAAATGGCGGAAACAGTTCTGCAACAGTTGATAATCATCACATAAATTTGATGGAATGTTTTCAGTTTAAGGGTACAGATCTTTAAAATACATCACTGCGTGTTCTATGTTTAAATAACTTAAGTCTTCTTAACTTACGATAATAGGTGATAACATTATTCTATGTAATTGTATCTAGTTTCGATTATATTGATAAAATTTATGATTCACTCCCAGTGAGTTTACCTTGTGAGTTATTGAACTAGATGAAGGATACAGTTTTGTTGACTATAATGTTTAAATATAAATGATTTTTAAAATGTATGTAAAATTAAAATTATATTAAAAGCTAATTTGACTATGTGATCTTTTGAAACATTTTAAACGATTGCAGTTTATTTCATAGTCAAAAAAATTATGAACACCATTTTCTTGTAAAATAATAATATCTTTATCAGTTGATGATAACCCATACTAATACGGGGAAGTCAAAGTCCGGGCCCGCGAAGCGGGCCCGGGCTTTGGCTTGCCCGGCTATAGACTACACGTGTATATTTAAAAGAAAATTCAAATTAAAAAAAAATAAAAAATATATAGAATTCTATACCTATCAATGAAATTTTCAGTGTCAGTTCTAGTTAGGCGCCGCCATTTACAATGTAACTCAATGATAAAAGGCGGTGTATTCCGATTACGGAAAAAATCTCAACTTTTTGGATTATTAATAATCGTCGAGTGTTCCGAGTGAAAACGGAAGTGGGTACATATAATACCGAATGACACCTTTAAAACGGAAAAATGAAAGGATTTTTTACCGACTTCCCCATTCATAGGCTTTGCCTAATTTCATATTACCAGTTAGTCTAAAAGATTGTTGGACCTGTAGACATTTCTGGTAAAAGTTAATTCATATTCAAATTCATAATTGTTAAGTGGCCCAACAAATTGTGCGCCACTGCGCCAGGTCTTTTTATTATATAGACAATGGGTGCCCTTTGCGAAAAGGCTGACTGTTATGTAATATATGACCATCTTGCAGTATAAATATTGAGGCTAAAGGCCTACATCTCTGTGACATCAGTTAGTAAATTGGTCAGTCTAACAGTCTAAATATTGAGACTAATTGTTAAGCAGGTCAAATTAATTTTCCTATTAAATAACATGCCAGGTGAAATGTCCAGAGTTTTGAGTATTAAGTCTTAGACCGCCAAAACATGAAAGCTATACCAGGGCTAAAAACTATGTCAGTGTAGTATGTCTGCTCTTAATGATGACTGAATTATAAGAAAAGAAATCATCTATATTTACCTGACTAGCCAACAGAAAACAAATCCAATACAGTGCAAGTCAGGGAAAAAATATCTGTCACATCTGCAAAAAAAGAAAAATCCATTAAGATTTTTTGATTTGAAAAAAAAAGAAGAAAACAATAGCCAAGACACCAGGTAGGATAAATGCTGTAAGATGTAGCCTTATTGCCCTCAATAACAAATCTCTCAGTGAATATGGAACAAACTTTCAATAGAAAGAAGACCACTTAGTGACATAGATTTTAATTAAGCCTACCTAATGTTGGTACTTAAGTAAACACTTTTTTTTACATAAATTTACCAGACCCACTGTCTTATATTGTAAATTTCCGAGCTGGCATACTTTAATAGCATTTCTTCCAATAAAATACAATACAGTATCTTATTTCTCCTAAATATAATTACTTGGTATATATAAGGTCACTGCCATCACAATGTAAACGTTGTTGATATAACAACAGTTAACTTATTCTATATATAATATTTGGAAGTATATATTTGTGTTATTGGAGTGGAATGTTTTAAGAACATTTGGATTTGTAACTCATTTTTTTCCAACTTTTATCCCATATAACTGTAAATAAATAAAATTGTCCTGAAAAGTATTTTAAGCCAGTCTGGCTTAAAATACTTTTCAGGACAATTTTATTTACATGTATAATTTTTAAATAACTTATGTTAATTGGTAGAAGATTATTCTGATTTTAACTCATTTATATTTTGATCTTAAAAAATGATGATCAGTTGAAACCAAGAAAGAAAATACCCAACAAAATGACCACATTATATACAAATTTATCTACATTACATATATCTACAAAAGCCATGCAGAAATAGTTTCTCTTGATGTTTTTGAGGGTTTGACCTTTAGAAACGAACATAATGAAATTAAACTGCTTTAACTATAAGAAAGTGTAACAACTTTAACTTTTTAATCATTATCACATGTTGCTAGAGTTGTTTCCCTTTGGTAATTTTTAAATTTTTCAGTATTGATAAAAGGGTGAGACAGGAAGATGGGATGTTATTGACTATTGGCCCACACTTCTTGCAGACAGGCCGATCAATATAATTACTTGTAAAATTGCTTGTGTGATATCATATTGGAAAGCATTAGTTTAAAGAAAATGCTACTTTATAGTTTATATATTTATTAATACTTGGAATACCTATGTATAAAAAAGTATATTAGAATGTGTTATGTGAATATTTTTACTAATCATCAGTCTGTGTGCAATTTTGTTCTGATTTATACTCTTGTGTGCAGAAAACACACTGTTTTTACTTTTCAAATGGAATATTGCCAGCTGTTTGATGTAACTGTCGTTCATTGGATATATTAAAAGATGTAAAGAGAAATAAGCAGATATCATTTGGGCATTATTACATGAAAAGTTTATACACTTTGTGCTAATGTATTAGACACATCTGCCTCTGCAAAGAAAGGTAGAGATTGACTTTTATTTCATATTCTAGGAGTTTTGGGCAAATATTCAATTTAATGAATCACTATTTAATATTATAGGTTTTTTGTTTTGTTAATTTTCTAAATGTTTTCTTTTATTCCTCGGCAACATTTTTGAAAATTACATTTTGTTGAAACCCCATTTTCTCAAACCTAAGACAGATCTTTGTGTTAGTCAAGTTTGGAGTATATTGACTTATTTGACATAATTTGTTTACTCTTTATTTTATAAAATTGTCAAGATTTGAAGGGTGTTTGAACAGAACGGATACAATGGACTTTTAAACGCACTTCATTTGGATTCTTCTAGTTGTTGAAAAATTTGTTGTAGTTGACCAATTCAATGACCAAGACATAATGTGTAACTATTATTTCCAGCAACACTGTTGTAACTTATCATGTAAGTCATGAATATGGTTGATGAAAATTCATTAATACAAAATTTAATATAACTTGAAAGAATTCATTTACATACATGCTGGAATACTATATTGTGCATGTAATAAAACAATTTCAGTGCCAAAATATCATTAACTAGCATTCACTCAGTTTCCTCTAAGTAAAAAAAATGTTTGCTCTTTATTATATACATGCAGCATGCTAATAAAATCAGCTAAATTGTAATATTATTTTCTAATTTTGAGAATTTTTTTTTTAACTTTTCATATAATAATACTTAAGATCCTTATTTCATATATATACAGTTACACATATGTATACACAGATTAGACCTCCTCTGTAGTTTTTTGTAAAGACAAATTCATGGGTGACTACATGAAGACAGGGATCATGCGGTGACATAATGAAGATCAATCTCAAGTTTCATTCATAAACATATCTCCAATCAACTTGACAGCTGGTTTATCCTAGGGATGAAGTTATAGTATTTTATGTACTAATTTTTTTATGTCATAGGAAAGAAGGAAAAAGAATACATTTTGAAAGTCACAAGCCAAAATCAGGAGTAAATGACTCCCAAACTTCCACTTACGGAAGCTCTGGCATACTGGATAGATTCATAGTTTAGTAACACTGCTGTGTTAGTTTTCAACTCTAAACTGGCTACTAAATGATTAAACTTCTTATGGAGATCTGCCTCAAATCACAGGATTTTCATTGTTCAGTACACATTCTGTGCCAGTTTCTAACCAATCAAAGACCAGCATAAGAAAGTTTCTGTACAACCTTGGACCCTTTGTATCTATCCTTATTCTTCCAATTGTGACCAAATTTACCAGTACAATCAGTGCAAAGATTAGCTTGCACAACTTTGCTGTCTGATCACCTTCTACATTTTGCGCTATTCAGCCAGTATATATTTTGAGACTTTTGATTTTTGCTAAAACTAATAAATGGTTTAATCCAAACTGAAAAATGGACAAGTACATTTAAGATATTTAGGGTGGTAAGGGTTAATGCATATGTTCCTCAAATTTTAAAGATTTCCAAAGCTTAACCTGGTATATAGAGAATGAATGAAAAACTACAGTAAAATCTCAACTAAAGTAGGTAAATCTAACCTCAATTTGATTTAGCTGTAGCAGCTGAGGTACTTGCTTTAAATAACTTATGGTGTCTATAGAAATGGAAGGCAGGCTTGTTTATTAGGGAGTTCTCATCTTGCTTGTGGTTACTAATATGTGTCTGGTATTAGTAATAAGACTTATAATTTAATAAAAATATTCTCTTAGTAAGGCAGTGACTTCCTAGAAATTTTCAACAGTTAATGTCAGTGTAGACTAGTGACCTTAAAGTGATCATTTAGTAAAACAGTGCTATTGTTGATTTTTTTTTTGGCTTCAGGCTTGAAAGTTTGATATAGCAGTTAAAACTTATCCCTTTTTAAAAATTTGTATCAGGTACTGTGTCTTAACTATGAAACAATTTTGCAGTAGAAGATTGCTTTGTAGTCAACAGTCTCTTAGTTAACTAAGGCATTCCAGCACAATTCTTGATGGAGAATAAAAAATGTTACAAATTCATAGAAATGTGCAAAAACATGGGGGTAAAAGAAAATTACTGATCTATTGATAAAAAGAAAATAGATAATAGCAGATGTTTTAAAGACTACCTCTGTTAGAGTCAGACAGTTGCCATAGCAACCAAGAATGCAGGAATTATCTGAGCGGAGATAATCAAATCATGGGGAGGAAACTATTCCCGTACAGGCAGTAGCTCAAACAGCCAGGTTAATGTTAGATGTAGGCCTCCTTAGTTCAGATTTATTATTTTTTTTTCGAGGATTTTTCACCAGAGTTAAACGTTCTTTCAAAACAGCCAGTGCATAATATAATCAATTTTACATCGGTGGTTTTAGAGGATATTGTGTGTGTTTTATTAGTTTTTTTTTAAGTGAATATTTTTATATCCGGAGTGTTTTTGATTTATTTAAGACAGTTTGTTATTTTCAATTTGAGTGTTATATTTTAAAAGGTGTTTGTTTCATACTATAAAATCTGTGCACAACTGGTTGTAAGTGATTAAATAAATGGGAGATTGGAGAAATTTGTGACCTTCAGTGATTTTGATGGATACACCATGATGATGCATACTAACAAGGCTATAAACGGTGTTTGTAGTTTAACAACTTGATTGCTGTTATAATCTACAAACATTGGATTTTAACATTTTGGATACGAAACTTAGAAAGATAAAATTTTGGGATTTAGAGCTTGTTTCTCACACAGGTAATTCTTGCGTACATGTATATATTTTTTTAAAGGTTGTGCAAGTTTTTTTTTTCAGGTAAATGAGTCATAGATTTGTAAATAAATTTTCTGTAGTCGGTTTGAAGGTCACTTTCTATTTCAAAGGATATTTTAAAATTATTTGAAAGGATATTTTAAAAGTTATTATAGATTTATGACATGTGGCTTTTTGAAAGGATTGTGCCTTGGTATTAAAAGATGTTTAAAAATTAAGATGTGTTAAGAAAATCCAAAGTCAGAAAATATTACTGCTGATTTTGTGCATTTAGGTTTAATATTAAATAATGAATTATGTTATGTATGTTTTTGTTATTAAACTTTGTGTAGAAATGATTGAATGATGAATTATTACTAGTTTTGGGTCCTGAATGTAATGTAAATTGTAATTGCAAAATTGTACTCATAAGCCAAGTTAAATTTTGGCAAGGATGACAGAATATCAATGACTGATACAAGATATGAATCAGGAGCACATTGATCTACAAGTTACACAGCAGGCATTGTAATAGACTCATGTAATGAATCATTGAGGAGGGTGAGTGGGGGGAGGTTGTACAAATATTTCTTGGTTCTGTCTGGTATCAATAATCTAATATAATAAGCTAATTGCATTCTCTTGTTATCTCAGTAATCGATCAATTATGTACCCACTTCTACAATGTGCATACTACTAAAGTTTGCTGTGTCCAGAAGTTTTGTAACTGTTTTCATGATTATAATTAATGTAATCAGGGACTCGCAGAGCTCAGGACAAAAAGCTTAAAGTTCCCTCCCAGTGTTTTGCTGCATGTAAGTGGACAAAAAAATCCCATTTCAAAAACAAAGTTCAGATTGTGTGTATTTTAGGAAACATATAATTACGTGAATTATTCATGTGCAATCACAATTTATCCATTTTGGTATTAAAGTATCAGTGCATAGATGGCTCTTTTACATGTGTCAAAATTTGATTATTTTGAATTTTCCTGGTACCGGTAGTGACATGATCTGGTTTTAAGTTCTATTGGTATTTTTCTAAAAGATTTCTCATGAACCAGTTCAATAATACATGAGTAAAGGGTCTGTAATTTAATTGGAAAAAGGCAGACTTCAAACAAACTAGGTTGATTGATTACTTTAATGCTGGTGACATGGTTATTGTATGGGTAATTAATTGATGAAAATTCAGAAAATTTAGAAAAAGGGGGTATATGGTTTCATTTCATTACAATAGATAAGTAGTTAATACAGAAAACAGAAATTGTCAAGGGACATTTTTTGTTTGTATGAAAGAGGGAAGAGGAGTGTGTTATAGTCAATAGTTAGTCTGTTATGCCATTTCAATGTTTTCAGTTGGGTTTAGAGACTAGTGTTTAATTTAAAATCTGAGGAAATTTCCAGTGAAAAGCAATATGATTTCTTACAAGGATGTGATTATTTGAGGTAAGGTTTGGGAAGATGTACATGTATAACTGGCTGTTTGCAATTTTAGATGGCAATAAAAGTAAATGTCTTATGTTCAAATAAAAAAAAATTTATTTGTATACATGTGTGTGCCTGCCCTATGTTGTGGGTAGGATAACTTTCAATTAGGATAAAGTCTTTACTTTTTGAATAAAGTTATGAGGAGTGAAAAGATTCATAGACTTTTTTGGTTGAAAAGTTACAATTTATAATGCAGTTTAAATTCAGGTTTCATTTTTTGTTAGTGATCAAACAGAGCAATATGTAACTATTTTGTCCTGATTTAGGCATTTATTTACCACTGTAGACAGTTACTATTAAATGTATAAGGTCAAGTAGTATTAGACAACAAGAAATGTGTCTTTCTAGTCAATGACAGTGTTATCATCCTTGTGACAGGTATGTCATTAGTGTTAGGTCACATAAATGTATGGTATGGTGGCCATTTGGGAACAAAATATATAAAATTAAATGAGCCTTTAATATATGCATTTAGTTTTGTTATATTGTCACTACCTACAGGGCTTCCATTTGAAAGTCAGAGACTGAACAATCTCTGACCTTTGAAGTTACATTTATGTAGGTAAAGAAGGAAAAGCATAACGTTTTTGAGGTCACAAGCCAAAATCAAGGAGTTAATGACTCCCTAAAACTTCCACTAACAGAAGCCCTGTAACTGTTGTACATGTATGTTAGTTAAATAGTTTAAACATGTATTTTTTATATGAAAACATATAATATTATGATTATATTATTGATTCAGCTATATTTCTGACTTCAAGGATGCAAAAGGCGTAACATAAATAGTGCTGGTAATATATAATTGATCCGAAACTGAGTAGGATATTGAAAATATTATTCACTAAAGTGTAACACTCTGTTGCTTGTATTGATTGTTTGGAACTGTTTGAATGGTTTGAGTCATGCTGGAATGTGTTGACATCTGGGTCTAATGAATAAACTCACTGAGATATTCTTCTGTAGAGCATTGTTTTATAGCATCTGGTCTTAATATAGATAACAATCTCGGATTCTCTGGAAGTCATGTCTCAAGGTTGATACAAAATATAGGGGGGAAAAAACATGTTTCCAGTCTTCTGAGAAATAATTCTATGCCATTCTAGTCATTTGATTGTAAAGTTAACTTTTTTTGTTAAAGCATAAATATATGGTTTGCAACTAGAAAAAAACACCAAATACAATATAGCTTTATTGTCTGTTTTGTACATAATTATTACAAATTATGTTTTGTACAGGGGTTTATTTTGTAACGTTAAGTTGGTATTTTCCTTGTCTGTTTTTGTGTATATGTATATATTTATTATGCAACAAAACACACATTCATTCCCAGGTGTGTATGCTACATGTATTTATGGTTTGACTTTATTGCTGCAGATCATACAAAATATACCTGGGAGTTGACATACACTGTGAAAACTGGTATGTAAAATATAAAACATGGAATGTTTTTGGATGATTGAAGTTGATGGGTTGTAAGTGGATGACAGTAGGGGACATGATACATGAGTATTTTGCCCTCGATTTATTCTACAATCGGTTTCAATACTTGAATAAACTGTGTTCATTAAGCTGCTCATCTCAGTGTTTATGGTACAAATATTTTGGTTGCAGACAATTATTGAACTATTACCATGCTAAATATCTCCCCTGGACAAAACCAACATTTTGTGGGATATACATAATTATGCTTTAACAAAAACAGTTAACTTAACAAAGAAAAAAAAATGGCATAGAATTATTTCTCAGAACAGTGAAGACAGTGCAAAAACCCCAACATTTTGAGGGATATGGAACAGTGCAATCCACAATGAAATATAACCCCCCCCCCCCCCCCCCAACATTTTGAGGGACATTTTGAGGTATAGGGCACAATACAACCCATGATCAGATAGTATGGTTGTGCTTATTGCTCTTGGTCTCCCAGACTGGTAGCATTGGTCAAATCAGGCTCAAGTTTAACTGAATAATAAAATCATCCTTTTCCCATGTGTTGAGAGAGACTATTGATATGTAAAGGATGTCATTTTATACCCAGAGGCATGTTGTTAACTTGTTAAAGTTCATCGACTTTCACATGATTTACTGAGATATTAAATGTCCTGCGTTTGATCACTTTTTGTCTCAAGCTTATTGCCCTTTCTATGTTTTAATGTCCTCCTCTTGTGAATTTTAGGTGTGTAGTGGCAAAAGGCGGCCACAATGACGGAAGTGGACAATATGCCCTCAACAGGGGTCCGCTGGGAGTCCGGACAGATTGAAGATGACTTTGAAGGGGGAAATAACTCAGCAAAACTATTTGAAAGATCAAGAATCAAGGCTTTAGCTGGTAAGTTTCAAGAGGTAGTAAATCTCAGATCTATTGTTTACAAGTTGCAGATTGAAAGAATAGCGCCATATTGTCTTGCAGGGCCTCCCTCATTATAAAGTTACTGTGCATGTCTATATTAGGTATTAACTACTACTCTAGAATAAGTCATATTGGTTAAATTGGGTGAATTTTTTTAAAAACTAATGTTTTTTTTTTAAAAAAAAATCATTTATACCTTCCTTGGATATAAATGTAACTATTATCAAGCTGGTTAAGGTAACCATGTCTTTGCCTTTTCTTATATAGGGAGCATCTTGTATATATTTACATATTTATGTAAGCAGGATTCTAATTATGTTTAATCCATATCAGAATTCAAATATTTGATATTTGCTGACTTTTCACTAAAGTTGACAGACTTATCAGACAGGTTTGATAAGTACTATAACACTTAACAGTGTAAAACAAGCTTTGAAACCTTCCAAGTTTGTATCAATGCCAACACTGTCTGCACGGCATCTTTAACCTTGACATAGTCACTGCATTCTGTAGTGTACAGTAATGCTTAGTATGCCAAGAAAATGTTCTAGCTAAAATTTTCACAACAGAGAAACTTGTGTTTTTATAGAGTAGGACTAATGAAATAATTATCACACCCAATGGCTTGTTAGAAGTTTAGAACTGATTTCGTAGAGCTTGTGCCAATTTATAAATGGTTTCTCTCTCCAATTTGAAGATGCTTCTTCAACAGAATATATTCATTTTCAAAAAAAGAAAAGAAAAGCTATTTCTGTTTTTAAGCTGACTTGCATATTTCAAGATAATTGCATAGTAGAAAGTGTATGAAATTTGGCTAACACCCATCAAGGCACAAATTCTTATCAGAAAATCCATAAAGCACTAATATAAAAAAATGGAAAGTTAATGAAATGACAAGTATTAAAACAGTCCATCCTCATAATATTTATGACTTTATAATCACTTGAATTTGTTGAAATATTTTTGTTTGAAATAAATACACCTTCATAAGTATGAAAAAAGAAAAATGTTGTCTTTAGGGATTCATTCTATACTGTATTGTTGAAATATGCAATGTTGACATAAAAATCGTTTTAGGTCAGCTTTACCTGTTATATTTATATTTAAACTGTAGCTTTGTATTTTGTTACATTTTCACAATATTTATAAACATTTTTCCGACTGAGCAAATTATTCGAAAACACTCCTTCAGGGTATAAGTACACAAAAATGTTATAATTCACTTTATTGAATACTAAATCGTCAACTTTAGGGTTAAATTGAGTAGGTAGAAGTGGCTATGAGATGTATATTTATGTTTATAGCATGCTCTATTAACATCGTGTCAAGATACCTGGCAAAATTCAAACCATAGCTAAACCTTAGATGAACTGCAGCACTTTTACAGCAATAACTGAACTAGGTAGGGTAGTAAAGTTCTAAATCATTTTTTCAAAGGTTATGTTTAAACCAAAAAAGCCTTCTTAATTGCGTAATGGATTTGCCTTTCATTAATCATTTTGTACAGTCCATTCAAAGTAAAGGGGATTTCGATATGAATGACCTTGACCTTTCAAGGCTTTTTTTCTTCTTCTATAGCAGGCAGGGGCTGTTTAAGGGAGGATTTTTTCCAAAAGATTTCTTTAGAATCATGCAGTTTTCCCCAAAAATTTAATTTACATCAAGTTGTTTCTTTTCCTTTGGCAAATAAACTGTATAATTTTTACCCAAAAGTTAAGGGCAGGGCTGCTTCCCCAAAAAGCCCTGTCTTACAAAAAATGAGCTAGAAGTGGTAATTGGGCCCTGTCAGACTGCACTGAAGTACAGGCTTGCCTGGCTTAGTACTCCCAGGTATCCAAAAATAATCACTTTCGGTTCCAGAAGGTTATTAAAGGTTGAATAAATAAAACCATTTTATCAAGTGAATACAATTTCTCCAAGTTATTTGCCTAATAACTCATAAAATAGCTGCAGGTAGCTGAAATGCACAATTGTCAACTGTGCATAATTGCAAGCCATATTCGGCAAGAAAAGTTGATAAAATTTCTTAGGTAATCTTAGTAAGTGTCTTTCCGTCAGGCTTCTTGTGAAAGTAATCTAGTTTTATGTGGAAAGATATTTTCAAGTTCTGTCTGTTTGGCATAGAACCATTGACACCCAACTGAAGATCACTGAGTCGGTAGAGGCCGAGAATATGTCCAACATATATTTATATATAAAGACTTTAAAACAAGACTGTCTTAAAACAATGTAATTAAATTATATGTTACAGCAGTATAAAGATATGTCCACAAATATTCATTGAAATAATATGCCTCCATTCAATTGAAGAACAACTGATGGCCATTTTCGCATTTTATTATACTAATGGTCATAAACTGTCCTTTTTCATTCACTTTTTTCTGAAGTAAAAATGTGTTTTATTATGATTGTAAAAAATTACATCAAAGGCAAGGTGATCAATTTTACTATTAAACTTATCACAAAATGTCATCTAAGGTGTCTGAGGTATAACCATGAAATTATAGAATTTCATAAAAAATGTCCTCAAAAATATATTTTTCAGTTGAAAGCCTGTTTTGCCAGTAGGTGGATATACATGTTGCCTGAGGATTAAAAAAGTTTGGAAAATTAAACTAAAGATTTTTCTTCTGTGGAATTTAGAATATGAAATTAGATCATTATATATTGTAAAGAAATATCTTTAAAGTGTAAATATTTTTTTTCACAAAACAAAATAATGCACAGTTATGTTTTTGCTGAATGTGGAATTTAAAACATCTCAAAGAGTATCATGTTTTAAGTTGTTTTTCAAAGATGTATCTAAAATTCAGATGTTTTCTCTATTGTTCTATCTGGCATGTTAATCTTGTTACTCATGATTCACAATGATAAACTTGAATGATTAACATTGCTGCTCTCAGCTGTTTCAGCAATGTTTACTCTGTTTGTCAAGATTTCTTCTGATAACATGAGGAATTTTGAGAACTATATATTCTTGATATTGTTTTAATATGTTTACCATTCCTTTAAGTTCTCTTGACTTTCTTCTAGTTCTATTGTAGTTCATTGAAGATTTGTTTAAAGAACCATCATCAATATCTGTGGTTTTAATTCTATTACTGTTCATGGCTTGGATGTAATATTTTCAATGACAAAACTACTCAACATTTAAGCAATCAAATGGACAGTTCAATGACAAATCAATGCAGTACAAGTTCAGAATGTTAATTTAAAATTGATAAGGTTAAAGATAAATAAGTGAAACATTTGATAGTATTGTGTTTTGCTTATAGGTTATATTTGTATTATGTATATAAGATTTGCATCTCTCTATCTTTTCTCTGCAAATATTTCTATTAGTTGTAAAAGATTATTTTCGTTTATTCTGTTGCAAATTCACTTTGTTGATGCTGATTTACCGGAAGAAGTTAGAGCAATTGTTTATGAGGCATAATGGTCATTTCCTCTTAATTAGGCATAATGGTCATTTCCCGATGTAGAAACAAGCCCTTCAAACACTGTATAAACTTCAAGTTCTTATTCACTGACAAAATTTAATGGAATATTTGAAAATTGAAACATGCACTAAACCATGCATAAAAGCCAATAACAAAGTTATAATCATAACAAAATGGTGATTCATAGATTATATGAAAATTGCATGCTGCGAATGAAAGTACATTTAACACTAATGAAATGAAAATAAGAGCTATTACGAATGTCATGCAAGATGTCTCACACAGAACGTGAAATATAAAACTAGATTTTTGCTTGTCATTATCCTAGTAATTTATGTAATCAGGTTTATACTTACTGTTTGTAATTCTCCAGTTGTGTATAATATGATCTTGCAGATTTTCCTGTATTCTAGGCTTTGGCTTTGAAGAATACAGCTTTTTGAAGTGAAATGCTATTTTTTCGCCACTTGAACAAAGTGATAAGATTTGATCCCTAGTTCGTTTCGTCTGATGCATTTGACACATCAACGTTTCCTTCAGTTTGTGCAAGGATTTCATATTGCTTTGTGACAATAGTGGAATTTTATGTTTTGCCCCTCTCCTTTGCTTTCTATCTATGAAGCAACAATAATTTAACTAATTTGTACTCATACTCAGTGTTTGTTTCTTGCATTAGTATTCACTTGGCAACAAAGTTACCTTGTATCTTGTCTGAGTTATAGTTTCCAAACTTCTTTGAAGTCATGTAGAAATTTTTCTTCAGCTATTTCATTTATACCATATTTAACTTTTCTTAGTGTCTGAATTCATGTTAATTGTCTCTGGCTTCAAGTACTGTTTTCTCCTTTCAACCATTGTAAATGATGCATTCATTGTTGATTTGTAGTGGTGTTTCTTCAACATCAGTTTTGTCCCCATCACATCTGCAGAACCTCATTTAACTTTATCTTCATCATCCATTTCTGTTAGCTTTTAATACATGCTGTTTATCCTATTGATTTTAAATGAAATGTTAAGTCAGGATAAATAATTTTTTTAAATGCATAAATTACAAGTGTTCTTTTATGTCCTTTCTAAGTTAAGTCATGTTTATATAGAAATCCATCTATTGTATTATGTACTGCATCAAAACCAGTGCACTATATGCTGCAATGCAATCCTATCCTTGTTTCTTAACTCCAAAGTTCTACAAAACAATCTCCTTTATTTCATGTGAATATAACACAGTATGACACAAGTATTAAATTTCCGGCATATCTTTTCAACTTAATTGGCAGCTACCTCCTTTCTTAAACAATGTCGACTTGTCACCCAGTTGAATTAATTACAGTTGCTCAACTGTCGCTCCAGTTCTTTTGAATAAGTGAAATGGCACACTGTTCGGAAGTCTTGTCTTAATTTGAATTTATAATATGGTATTAGATGCTTTTATCTTTCCGTGTATTGTCCTTGTACATTTGAAACTAAAGTTATGATTATAAGATTGTAAGTGAGATAACGAGGATTTGGGACAAACACTCGAGCTAAGGTCGTGTTTTTCGTTGGGACTTCTCTAGGACCTTAAACATAAGCTTTATAGAAGAAGCGGATACGAAAACTCTTCAGAAAAGGAAGTTAGCGTTTATACACAGTCAAGGGCATATACGTCTAGATTATTTAATAAGCGCATGTGATTTTTCTGTAGTTAAGTGAATGGGAAATTAAGTTGTTGTGCAAAAACATGCAAACAAATGGGGTGGCTTCGCCATCCGAGGTGAAATTGAACAGGTTTTCTTCAACGGAAACCAATGTCACAGAAAGGTTTATTCTTGGAAAGATTAGACAACTTGCAGGTAACTTGTTTTTGATTAATTAAATTTAAAGGTACAAATTTATAGTCAATCAGCATTTTATAATCTATTTATAGTAACAAAGGTTATATTGACAGGTCGTTAAATTGTTGTTATTATTACCCCAACAGAATACTGGCAGAGCGTCAAATTTAAGAACAATACGTGATCTAATTAGTGCTGTGTCTTGCTTTTCTTTAAGCGATATACCCCATGAAAATGTAATGCACAGTTACACAACTGTAAGTGCTATAATTTACACCCGACTGTTTTAAGGGTTTATCTGGTTACACATGACTCATTTGAAAATAACAGGGTCACTTCAAAACACTAGGTCTGAATGGAATGAAGGATATTTTTTTGTCTACATTTGGTTTATAAATGGTATTTTGACCATATATCTTATCTTGTACAAATAAACAAATTTAATGTAACACTCAGTTGTACATGTTCTTTATGTTTCGGTTTAATGAGACATATAACTATATATTATTGTGTTATTGAACCTAAGAAATATAGCTGGAACTCAGAACATGTATTGTTATTATCAGATAGTTACTAAAAATGTCGCTTTTATGTTTGGCAGCCAAGAAATAGGATTGGTGCCTCAACTGAATGTTATATTGAGCCTTATTCTGGTTTTGCAAGCTCTATACTTTCTTTGTTATAGCAGATACAAAAACTATGTTTCTGGTTACCATATCTTGATATGTATTATGTTCATTAGTAGTGAGTCAGCTTAATTACAGCAATTTATGCAAGATATAAACAAGAACTGATCTCTTTACAACTTTCACTAATAAATATTAGGGCTACCTGCTAAACTTCTGGAACATTTTCATGTTGTTGCATATTGCTGCCTATGTTCAGGCTGTCTTTGAAAAATGTGTATAACTGTACATGTATGTATGATGCAATTAAGGCACTTTCAAGTTTTTGTGGTATTATATTTGTTTACTATTGGGGTAGAAACAATATATCATCACATCACATAGGGCCAACGTTTTGGTGAACTTTTCTCTGTTTCATATGGATAATGATTGTGAAAAGTTTGTCATTTTTCTATGGGAGTTAAAAACCTCTTTATAAACAGAACAATATTGAAAGGGTTTTTTTTGCTCTAACACCCTGCTAGCATTCAGTTATATATCAGAATATTCAGACACTTGTAAGACAGGCTTTTAAATCATTCTGTATATTACTTTCTACATTAATACAACAATAAAACACTGCATGATTTACACAGCATGAGCTCTAGTGGTTTTATATTATTGAGGCTAATTATATCCAACTGCTAAAATCATTATAAGAGGTTGGATTGCAATTAAAACAGGTGCTCAAATTAAAATACATCCACTTGTTGGTAAGAAAATAGCTCTACAAATTAAGTAGGGTCTCCTACTAAACAGCAAAGAGACAAAAAATTAAACATGCACACTAAATAACAGAAAATTGATTAGCTATCAGTAGGTTGCATTAAGTTTTATTTGTTTAAGCAGATTATGTAAATAGTTTATTTTAGGCAAAATAAAGAATCAAGTGTTTACATTAAAGCACTTTGTAGTAAGTTTATTTATGCCAAGTTTCAAACCTTAGAAAAGAGACTGATTGATCTGATCAAAAATATATTTCTTGGAAATTTAATAACCAGTAGGGTTGAATATAAGTTTCAGCTGATGAACATTCAGACCTAACCACACTGTCTGTGCATGTATGTTAAAACAGACATGAAGTCCTAACAACTGAAGGTTTTCATTTACTGTAAAATTAATGTTTGTTTAATAACAGCTTAAGTAAGATTGAATTTTAAACAATTTATAACTTTATGGGTGCAGGCATCTCATGCCATATGAATAAAGCTAATACTCAGTTACATCATTGCAATTTTACCTGACTCAATGCTGGTGCTTGCTAACTTCAAGTACTTTGATACTGAAAAATTCTTTGAAACTAAAAAGTGTCAAATTTAAGAAATAATATATCCCAAACTGTGATTTTATCGCTCAATAACATCACTGTTTGGAGTTCGGATGCGAGGAATTATATCACGAGGGCGTAGCCCGAGTGATATAATGATGCGCATCCGAACGACAAACAGTGATGTTATCCAGCGATAAAATCACCGATTTGGATATATTATATCGATTCTAACACGACGTAAACAAATAAATGCTGCCGTACCTGCTATTAAACAAAATTGCGCCTGATTTGTTTCCGTACTTATTGTTTGCGCGTCAGATTTTATAGTGGTTACGTCACATGTCTAAATATAGAACGTCAAACAGTGACTCTATTGCATAATAACACACACTTTCGGTTCTTCTATGTTCAATAGGGAAAAATGCGGGTCGTGTTAGAATATGACATTAAAGACAGTGCGGTGATGTGAAACCTTTCAAATTGAGTATAAATTACAATGTCACCTTCATGTTCTATGTAGTGCATTCAATATTTTACTTTTTTTCGGATTTATAAGATGAAAAAATCTTGTCATTTTTCCGTATTTTTTTGGTAAAACTTGAAAAATGCTTTCCAAATTGTTATTCTGTGTAACAATATTGTTTATGTAATAGCTTGTGTACATGAATACCATGATACATTATCAGTGCATCATCATGCACCTTGAGTATCTTCAGCATTATCTACACAATGTTTAGATTCTTTGTTTGTTTATGTTGCCATACCTAGTGATAGCTGCCAGTAATTAGGCTCTTCCTCTCTGATGATCTCCCTGATAAAAGGTTATTACACAATCTTAGAGATAAAACAAATATATCTTTTACTGTATGTCTGTGCCTATGTTAAGAAATAATCATTTTCTCTGTAGAGTTTTGGCTCAGACCCTATGAATATTCTGAAATAAATGTTTTCCTAAATGTATGCTAAAAGTGGTAGCTTAGAGCTATTACATCAAGACTGTGTCTATCAGAAATAAGCATGGCTACACCTATTCTTGAAATTGATTTTACTATGCAGAGAATCTAGAATTATATGGTGAAGAATAAATTTGATGTTGTACGAATAGCTAGAATGGGGGTTAAGTGTGCTAACAAAATGTCTGAGACAAAAGCAAAATTGACATAAATGTAGAAAATCAATGGAGAATTTTAAAGCAACACTGCAGACTGCCTAATAACTTATTCAAATAGCTAACTAATTCCATCAACAGTAGCTTATAAAATGACTTTCTTACAGATGCCTCCATTACAGTTCAAGCCCAGGCTGCACCTTCACACTAGCATACTGTTGACCTGCTGTTTAGGATATGACAGTCCCTTAAAGTAGCACAGGGTTATTCCAAATAATCAAAAATTTCAGGCAATCATATTATTTAATTGTTGCAGAGTAAAGTAAAAGATTATCAATATTTGATTGAAGCTTTGATGAAAGGCAGTTTTATAATGATATTAACTTGTTCTCACATTTTCCTTGCATATATTTTCAGATGAGAGAGAGTCCGTACAGAAGAAAACCTTTCAGAAATGGGTGAACTCTCACCTGGCCCGAATTGGGTGTCGAATCAATGACCTTTATATTGACCTTCGTGATGGCAAGATGCTCATGAAATTGCTTGAGATCCTCTCAGGGGAAAGACTGGTAAGTTGTTATAAAGCATGCTCTTAACTGGTGTATATGTTCTCCTTAAGTCTACATGACAATGTTCACAGATTTAGTGTCTCCTCATGTTAACATGAAAATGTAATTGTCTCATCAAGTCTACATGAAAATGTTCACAGATTTAATAAGTGTCTCACCAAGTCAGCATGAGGTTTCATGGGTTTAATTTAAAAATTACTCTGCTTTATAAGACTTTTAACAGTTTGGAAAGAACAGCTTATGCCTGAAGGATCATTTGCAGTGTGCTCTTCCACAGAATTGGTATGTTTTCACCGCTGATCAGATCAACTTGATCGTCCCGATCACATTAATTCCCCCATGAAGCCCGACCAAGCTGGATTAAATGCACATTCATGACCACTACACGTCCTCAAGTCGACCCTACACAATGTTTAACGACTTCTTCTTGACGACAACTCGACCAACATCCAAACTTCTTCTCGATCACCCAGATCTATACGTGAGTCATACATGATCTCAACTAGACTAACTGAACCTCTTCTTGATCGTTGCCAGATTTCCACCCGACCAGATCGTAAAAATGCTCAAGTAGAAGTCGAGATGATACAAATCGGGTAAGAGATGTATACCCGACTGAACTAGATCGTTACACGATTTATTCTCGATCAGCTAGATGAACTAGATCTTCTACTCGATCACTATACGATCGCTTCTCGACCGCTTATCTACTCGAATTTTTTTGACATGTCAGCATGAGCCATGCAGACCAAGGTAGACTGCTCTGACCACCCCCACCGAGCTAGACTGGTACCTGATTGCTTGATCGTGCTTGATCAAGTTGATCTGAACGGCGGTCAGAACACAGCATATAGCTTGAAGGTCACCTTACTGTATGACATCAGTGTCTGTGTTACATAAAACTTAGTCGAGAAGTTCAAAATTTGATCAGTAATATTTCAAGCAGTACCTGAGCATAGCTTTAAGACCTCATTCCTCAGCCTGTGTAAGAAGTCTATATTTATAAAGTAGTTCATTTGTGAAATATTTGGAAGGTCTAGACAAAATGATGCAGTATTTGACTAGAGATTTGTTGCATTTATCAAATTTTCAGTGAAACTTCTCATTTATAATCTATGATAAAGATTTATGTATCTTAGAAATGCAATTAGGGATGTAAATTAGCTGTCTTCAGGAACATATCACAGAATAGATTCTTCACTGGTTACAGTTTTTGCCAGGTTTTCCGGTGAAAATGTATCGATCAATTCAGTTTGTAATTTTAAAGTTTCGAAAAGCAGATGCTTTGTTATATTTAATTATAGCCCAGGACGCATTTCAGTCTAAACTATCTAATCACACTGTTGTTTCTCCAAAATGCAAAATATTACCTTGAACTTTGGTCGGATATTTGGATGTTTTGTCGGTTATGGAGGGAAAAAAGGTTAGGCAGGAAAAAAAAAATTTCCATTAGGAAAATGGTAGATGCTGAGCCAGTAGAATTATTTATTGATGAACATGATCAATATCATGGCAGGATGAGGAAGTTTGATTGTAATGGTGATTCATTCATATTATCATGAATTACTACTATGTTCTGTCTGGAATGCTTGTATTATATCCCCTCCTGCGAATCATAAATAAAATCTTAAGATTGTCTGTCGTATAAATATAATAAATAGCAGGCACTTCCATTAAGTTTCGAAATTCGAAAGTCAGAAACTGCAAAACCTCTGATTTTGGAAGTCACATGATATATGTGATGAAAGAACAGCATTATAGACTGAAAGTCACAAGCCAGAATCAAGGAGTAAATGATTCCCAAACTTCCATTTATGGAAGCCCTGAAATACTAAGTTTACTACCCTGCTGGTCTTCAAGTGCCCTAGGATACCTTCATGTTCATGTTGTTTTCCAGGTTTAACTTGATTCTGGCAATTTTTTAAGATAGACTTCTATATTATCGATTTTGGGGATTATGAAAATTTGATGTCCAGCAGTATAAGCCAGGTCATATAGTAGTACAGGAGGCAACATTAATGTTAACTTTTGGTCTTTAAATGACATAAATCAGTGTAGTATGTATCATAAGTAATCAGGCAAAAAATGGCATAAATTAGCGGGAGTGGTTTTTTTCTCTGATAGTAATTTAAAACATGCAGTATTGTAAGATATAGCCTAGGACAAGTACTTTATCTAATTAAATTGTGAACATTTGAGAAATATGTAGTAAAATTCCTGAAGTGAAGTATTGTAAGAAGAACAGCTGGAAATATATGCCAATGATGAAATAATTAGTTTGTTCCACAAGTGTTCAATTGTTTTGTTTTTACAAGTGGATTCAGTTACACCCTTTGTTTTTCCATCATTTCATAACTCTTATTAAAGTAGATGCTATTTCTGTTGTAATTTAGTAGTACTCAAAAGTAAAGGAGAATAGGATAATTTTGCTGGAGGCTTGGCAGTAGCTTTAACCAATCGGAAATGCTCTTTCATCCAGGGTAATGAGACCTTGATTTCAACTAATTAAGGTACTCATAAGTTTGCAGCACTGTACTACATTTATCTATGAAATGTCAGAGATCATCTGGACTGGCATGTAAATTTGGTTCCCAGCTTGAACAATCTGGTTTAGCCTTGATGATTAGATGAAACAAGCTAGATAAAAGGCAGAAAATCATCTAGATTACTGCTAGTGATAAATGCCCCCCCCCCCCCTCTCTTCAGTCTGAAATATGAACCAGTTACTGAAGTAAATATTTTATACAGTTGATGTTATAGTTGTAAAGTCATAAAGTCATTAATACATGTTTATATCTGGTATGTTAGGCCAGAAAAAAGTGGCTGTTTACAATTGCATGTTAAAAGTAGTGACCAAGAGGGCAAACACCTTGAAATCTTGCAGATAACGCTGTTGAAATAAAATTAATCAATTTATATGTTTCATCATAAAAAATGAACAGCAATATAATGGTTATTCAAAATAATGTTCATAGGATTGTTCATAAAACAAGTCCTGTACATTATTTTTACATTATTCTTATGGATGAGTAGAAGAGTCATGAATAAACAAATATCGCTTTCTTGATCATAATTTAACACCTCATTATTGATGAATGTTTATGAAGGAGGCAATATCTTTCCCAGTGTTAAAGTTACATAGGAGGTGTTGTTGTAAATTATTTATTTGAGCTTTCATAATTGATTGACTCAACACTAATTTGTGTAGATGATTGTGTTAATGTGGTGTAACTGGTGAAATGTACATGATTAATGTAGAGATAATGAATATGTAAAGTTATTGACAATTAGATTCTTTCCTTACTATTGTTTCTTGATTATATTATTAATAGGATATGGCTCTTAAATCATACACTTTGTGTGTAATTGTAATTGGTAATTGCTACACACAGTTAACAGGATTTGCAAATTTTCTGTTTAACCATGAAACTCTTGTCTATAAATAGTTGAATGAATCCTATTTTGTTATCTAAATTGTTATCTGAAGGAAGATTTTTGCAATATTTGCTGAGCATATGTTTCTGATAGCGAGTATCATTTTGGTACAAATCTAAGTGAAGGAAAAACAAGAAAGAAAAAATGGGTCAAGATTTTTTTACATAAATATTCAATATATATTTTGACATATATTTTCAGCCAAGACCAACAAAAGGAAAGATGCGAATCCACTGTTTGGAGAATGTGGATAAAGCCCTCACATTTTTACATGAACAGCGTGTACATTTAGAGAACATGGGAGCCCACGATATCGTAGATGGTAGTAACAGACTCACACTTGGTCTCATATGGACCATCATTTTAAGATTCCAGGTATGTGCAGATAAAAACCAAGTCCTGCAGAACTTATGCCAGCCTTTTTAGCCAGTTCATTTACAATCAGCCATCCTGCTTTTCAGCTTTTCAACAATGCTTTATAAGACTGGAAGTTAAAGGGACGCAATAGCCTAGTGGTTTAGGTGTCTGCCTTTCAACCCAGCGATCATAGGTTCGAGCCCTATTCGGGTAACGATCATGATTCCTCATATTATGACACCAGTCCTGGTTAGTTCCAGGAAGCAGACTTGAAAGGGATTGATATATGTTGCAAGGACTTGTTTGGCAACAGAGCTAAAATAAACAAGTTTAAACTGAGTCTGGCAGTTAAGTTTTTATCATGGGTCTGTTTGTGCTTGATTTTTGGATGTCCTTGACTGAAGTCCCTAAATGACTACAGATGAACCATAGATTTGAACCAGCCAGATTTATGAACTGCAGAAAAATTTCATAACATAATCTCTATATCCAAGATCAAAATATTCCCATTATTTTTGCTAAATGATGGACCTTGTTTTCATGATAAAGAATACAAGTATAAGTGTATGATTTCTGAATCTACGGCCACAACTGTGATCATGACTATAAAATTGAAGCATAAACTGTAAAACATGAGTGGCTTATTGTTGTCTTTACTTTATAGATTAGCCGAATCATGTTTTATGATTAATGTCTCAAGTGCAGTTTAGAATTTTTATAACCTTTCTATACATAGACCAGATTGTATCTGAGCCAGAAAGTGGCATGTGGCAAATATCAATTGTTCCTGGTATGTTATATATATGCAATATGGAATAGGATTATTGCATCCATAATAAATCCCAGAGCATCCACACATAATATCATCTGTGCCAAAACTAATCAATACTGTAATAATTCACCTAGCATGATTGAATAAGCAATCGTTTTGAGAACATTTTAATGGGGCAAGAGTGAATAATACAGAAATCTCTTTTCGAGAATGATTAGTTATTTTCATAAAAAATATACAACAACAACAACATTTTATTTTGTAAATAAAGGCCTCCTGGCCCAAAATACACAATATAATCAATGCAGATATGCATATTTAGCTGTGTCTACAATACACATTGTTATCTATGACATGTTTTCCTATTTATAATAGTTATCAACAATTTTCATTAATTTCATGAACGAAAAAAGCAATATTCTCTATTTTTTCTACATTTTGAGTTTTAGTGCTAAAGTGACTCAAACAGGGTATTGGACCGCGTCCATTTTGCTGAATTTTTTTATGTATTTTATATGCATTTTAACGCTTGAAATTAATGTTTGCGGTCTTAAAAATTCATTTATAGTATAAAAAGTTATACAATGTATAATGATTGGGTTTTAGGGTTGTCACAGTATGTGTTACAGATTACATTGTAAGTTTAGGATTTGGTTTCAAACTGATTTAGTTTTTATGCAATGTTCTGTTATCTCATTCAAGCCCTATTCTGTCATGTAATTCTATATCATTTTTAGCAAAAAGGTGGGTTGTTAAAAAAAACAACCTTTGTTAAGATTAATGTGTTTAAGATAAATACCCATTTCCCGGGCTAAATGTTTTTGTAAGCGTAATCATTGGGCCTGTCTGTCAGGGGCTTTCACTGAAAATAAGGAAATATTTCTGATATTTGGGGATTTCTTTTATAGCTGTTAGTGTGCTTTCACCATTTTTCATGTCTTAATGTTGAGTTTTGCTTATGCCGGTGCTATGGGGTGTGGATGGTAACTTGCACTTTCCAGTACCGCCCATGAACAGGCAGAATCAAACTGAGCTAGCAACATTTTCAATTTTGTTGTTTAGTCTGTTTTCTTTATTTTATTTTACTGCTTTGTTTTAGTATGACCTATTTCTTCATTTCAGAAGAAATACAATGTATTTGTTTAAGTTAAGACTTATCAATTTAAAACTCACTATTTGGTCTGATGCTCGTTTAGAATATTTGAATTTTAAAAAACCAACAAATTGAACAGATGAAAGGAGGGTCAGAATTTGTGTAGTCTACGGGTTTAGCCATTTATTGAAAAGTTAAGTATATAATTATCTTGGCTAGGGCTCTATTTAGGGTTTAAGAGAGAATTATATGTAAACACTATTAGCCCTATGAAAAGTACTTAAGTTTGTATAAAAAGATAAAAATGAAATACACTGCTATGCTGTGTTAATTTTTTTGAGACTGTCATTTGTGTACACAGTGTTTATGATAAATTATCAAATAATGTTATCACTATGTGGGTTTAGTTTAATTTTTTCACAGTCATGCTAACATATTATGAAATGAAAAATCTTGCAAAATGTTGCCGTGTGTCATTGAATACATCAGTAGCTAGATTATGTAAATTTTCCTGGTTAAAAGTTGGTAAGCCTATGTGACATGTGTAATGGATGTTGTTTATAACATTGAACATAATGTGTTCAACTTGTCACACAATCTCGTCCCTAACACTGACATGCCTAATTATGATGTAGAATAAGGAAATGAGTGTGAAACATTTCAAGTGATGTGCAGTTACCACTTTCTCACATCTTGAAAGCTGCCCGGCACAAAAAATCTTGAACTCAACTCTGTTTTATTAAAATCAACAAATTCATGACTTTTGTATAGAGAATTACATCTTTAGCTGTTTACTTAGGCTGGGTTATTGATTAATAGTATTTTGTTTGATCATTGGAGCAGAACTTTGTGACATAAAAAAGTCCTAATGAAAGTGAATATTGGTTTAAATTTACCTGTATGAGTAATATTAAATATCAAGGCATATATATTTTCTATGTATATAGATTCAAGACATTACTATAGAGGAGGCCGATAATAGCGAGACCAAGTCGGCCAAGGATGCATTGTTGCTATGGTGCCAAATGAAAACTGCCGGATACCCCAATGTTAATGTTCGCAACTTCACAACTAGTTGGAGAGACGGTCTTGCATTCAACGCTCTCATTCACAAACACAGGTAAAAGTCTGCATGGTCTTCCATTCATTGTCTCGAACATTTTTTAGGGTTCTGTCAAACTTTCAATCAGACGTCGAACTACCCTTTGTTTTATAGGTAATTCCTTAGACCTATTAATATTTTCAATTGCTGCAAGTGGCCGGAATGACCTCTTACAATCAGCCAAGAGGCCTTGTGTCATCAAAAAGGAAGCATTGGAAACAGCTTTTAATTGCTTTATAAAACTTGCCTTATCCTTCAAGTTCTTGTGGCAATTATGTAGGTGCCAGTGCAATCAGTATAGAGCCACGCCAGCCTGCACACATATGCAATCTGGCAAGACGCAGTACTCTTAGTTTCTTAATACTACTAGTATTAATTGATATAAACAACTATTGGAATAATCAAAATTCATAGCAGGACAGTTTCTTATTCATCAGTGTATAGGGTTATGGAACTTATTATGAGTGGTGGCAGGGCCAAGTGGTTAACACATCAGACTTGGAATCAAAAAATTGATGGCCGCGTGAGTTTGGACCCAGTCAGGTGCAAGCCATTGTTTCCTTGAGCAAGAAACTTTACATTCATTGCTTAGTACTGATTGGTTCCAGGAACTGATTTGTGAGTGTTTCAATAAGCTTGTAGCTTCCTACACAATCGAAAAGGAATAGATTTGCATAAGCTAAAGAACTAATTATGAATCAGTGCCAATTATATGGCTATGTTTCAAGTCTGTTGGAGAAATTGTTTGTAATCTGACTATTGATCACCTTTCATTGAGCAGAAAATCTTGACATGCTTGACTCATTGGTAAATACAGCTTAAAACCTTAGCGTGTCTGTGTTAAAACCATTCAAAATGTCCCGCACATTACTTAACCTGTATGGTAAGCTCGTTTTTATTCTGGTACAAATAGATGTATTATATAGCTATCAGTGATTAATCAACATTTCTAAAAAAAAATTGAACGTTTAAGATTAAGATATCATTCAGGAGGTTATTGTAAAACACAGGTATTTTAAATCACCTGATTAACCTGTCAGCACACCTGACTCATTGTATTTGAAAAGCTTATGGTATAAAAAAAAATACTGCAACATTTGTGCTTTAAATGTAAATACATTTTTAGCGACAGTCACAAGTTCTTTTTAAACCTCAGTAACAAATTTTTATATTGAATTTCTTAAATCCATTATGTTCTTTCCGCAGTTGAACTAGTTTTGTACAATAACGGGAACAAAGCCCATTAAGAAATTACACTACATATACAGATGTTTACGTTATTTGACCAATTGTATATTGTTAGCTTACGATAATGATATTATAATGAAATGATTTGTTGTTATGATCTGAGATTGTAAGATAGGAATTTTAATCCTACCCTACATCAAGTCTTACCAACTTATTCATGTCTAGTTTAAGATACTGAATAGATAAATCGGCCCATATATACAAGTAACATGGTTTGATACACGAATGGTTGTGAAATTTGAGTAGTCACCTTAAACCTTTAACCACTGCTGACTTTTTGTAAAGTAACCGTCTTGCTTGAAATTTGAACTGTCCATTGGCTGTTTCACTCTTAACCTGGTGAGTTTTTAAAGTTTTGTCCAGCTTCCATTTATTGGATTCTCCATTACCAATTTCGGGGATAGCAAGATAAAAAGTTTGATCAGCCAGCTGTATAGAGCATTGTCAAACTGCACGAAAGTTCATGCCGGCGGGCCTGGTTCCATACTGGTGGCAAAGGGTAACCACTTCCGGTACCAGGATGTTAGGGGATCTCAGTATTAAAAATACTAGCCTTCTGAAGTAGAAGTATTGAGGTTGGGTTGAGGACTGCATGGTTGTTGCAAGCCCGCCTTGTCATTTACTCTTTTCATATATATCACCCATTTTCATGTCTGGGTCTAAAGTATTTAAGTCTGCATATCTTGTGTAGGTGTACGGTATAATGAATGTTTTCAACAAACATTTTATGATGTAAATCATATGATATGACCTTGAAAATCAAATGAGAAAGTTACCTCTAATAAATGTATGCCTATGCCTGAATTAACAGGTAAAGTTTATGTATTAACATCAGCATAGACTGATAGAGTTATGTTTTAGCTAGTTATAAAGATGCATCTTCAAAGAAAATTAGATTTTGTAAGGAAGTAATGAATGAGGTTGCAGTAAATGCAAATATGGATAATTTTATGATTAATCTTGATAAAAGCAGCCTCTCGTAATATTATACAGTATCCAAGTTTGCATTAGGAAATATCATTAGAGTGCATAGTATAAATCACACTTCTCATAAATTGAAGAATTCATGAATAATAAATTGAATAAATTTAACATATTACATGAATTATAAATACTGGTATGTAATTACAAGAGGAGAAAGTGGCTGCAGATTTTATTCATTATTCAATTAAAGTACTGTATGAGGCCTTGTAGCAATAATTAACAGAATTGACCAATAGTGGGTGGTGGTACCAAATTAAAATAGCATTCCGTCTGTGTACACTTGTATATGCAGTCTATTGTGAAGTCGGTGTCAGTAAATTTGTCTTGAAATCCCTGAAAGAAAGAATGGACAGTTCCTAATTCAAAGCAGGACAAGTCCATTTTGCAAAATTAGGTGTGTCACCTTGAACATTTTCTGTAATTTCTAAGCACCAGTTTTTGGCATTTATTCCCAATATGCAGTAGGCAGTCAGTTAATATAAACTGGAGAATCCAAATTCATTTAATATAGATTATTTTGATGGCATCTCTTAGCATGTGTCATTTATACATATTTTTCTGGACATTTTATGCACATTAAACAGAAGTTAAACAGGAGTATTTTAAGACAGAACATTTTGCCTTGACATTAAATAATAATATAAACTTTCTATTACTCATGAATACTGGGCAATAATTGCCTGAAGTCTGGAGAATATCCAGCATTTATCAAGAGAAATACATAAAAAAAAAGTGTTGTAAAAGTTTTTTCATGTAAACCTTTGGCTGTTGATATTTAGACCTTTTTCCGCCACTCAGAGAAAATTGGATGAAAATAGCTTTTAGGAATGAGTCATCGAAACTGAATTCGTAAACACGCCTTTTGTAAAGATAACAATATTATTGGCGACGCCGGTGAGCGGCGTCGTCTATTATGGAACGCTTTTCATTTTTGCCTATGGAAGGAGCTGTTATTATTAGCAGTTAATTTCATGTTGTGTTAATTATATTTATTTTGATTCGTAAAAATCAAGTAAACAAATATGTTGTTATATTTGTATTTAATAACTTTATATAAAAAGCATGTGCATTGTGATATTATTTTCACGAAATTGCAGGCTCTGATTAACAGCTTGTCCCTTTGTTTTATTGACAATGCTAAAACCCGGATTTCGAATATCGTTGTGGTCTACATTGATGTTCATTCATTTATATATTTTCAAAACTTTCCTACAAGAAGAAAGTTCACCTGCAAATGAGTATTAGGATAGGTAATGGACTGTTGTAAACGATTATCCTATTGATTTTATACATATTACGTTTATCTGTTGAACAGAATGGTTGTTTTTACAAAGTGTACCAGTATCTGGATGTTGACAGCTATCCGATTTTCTGCAATTACTGCTGTCACATGGCCATCTACTTTTTTATGAATACTTTACCATTAATTTGCATGGCATTATATAAATTAAAATGAGCCTGCAACATTTCTTAATTTTGATGTTTAGGGTGTTCTTTTGGGTTTCATGTTTTCTTTATTTCAAGGGGAAGTAACTCATGTTTACTAAATTATTTGTTCTTTTTCTGTCTATCTTAGGTATTACTTACAATTTTTGTTTTATAAAATTTACCAGTTGTAAGGTCATCAAAAGCATAGAGGCCCTGATGAGTGAATATTGATATATATATACTTTTACTGGCTTTATATACCCAATATTTCATATTTATTTAATAGAAACTTGGAATTATTAATGTTATGTGCATACATTTATATCTTAGTATATTGGTATGATGAGACTTACAATATTTCTGAATTTAAAGAGTTGCAGTTATGTCATTATTATTAAAGGGATGAGACTTTCATTTAAAGTTATAAATGATAATACATGTATTGATTGAAAATGTCCTGAAACTTGGATCAAGCAATATAATTGATAAAGCCTCAAAAAATCATGTTCTGAATAGTTATTCTAATTTTTTTCTAACATGTGCATAGTTTGAAAAGGACAGCTTCTGCCTTATCTGTTTGTAATGGAGGGACACCGGTCTCAACCTCCAGGTCTCCTGAGTCAACCCGACAACAGACTTTTCATAGAGTAGATTGATACTTGTCCTTGAATAAATTTGTACACTAAATTTTATAGTGGGTGATTTGTGCCACATGAAAACCAACCAAGTACAAAAAGTAACCGGGCGCCAGATGAAAACATGAAAATACAATCTACCACAAAGTGGTTCGTTTGTTGCATTTTCATGTTTTCGCCGGTGCCCTTGATGTAAAATACAAATCAGCCTTCATAAAATTTCTTATAGATATTGTACATGTATTAGCACAGTTATATTCACTTTCAAATTGACCTGTTATAAATAATGGCATAACCAATAACTGTCTTAGCCCTTTTTAGTAAAAATAATTATACAATAATAATTATATAAATTGTTATTTTAATTAAGACTATGAGTATGTAAGGTTTTTTTCTCTTATTTATTAATTAAGAATTAATTATCTGTTAATTTAAAAATCTAAATATCTGTCACGGTTTAGAACTGTTCACTATTTAGGGGAGAAAATGTGTAAGCGGCCAGATAGCTCAATCGCTACAGCCGCGGTACATTATTCTGTGGGTCACAGGTTTGAGTTCTGGTCAAGCTGAAAGTTTTTCTCATCCTGTTACTGCAAATAACCATTAGTTTAATTTACTATGCTCTGTAATAATAAAACATCAGAAATTCAAGTACATGAATCAATATAGTGGGGAAAAAGGTTTAGGTTTTAGAAACTGTTTCATTATTATAGAGAAAATGTG